TTTGAGTTCTGTCATACTCTGAGAACTTACCTCTTCATCCGCAGTGTTTCACAAGCAGGCAGAGTGTTAGGTGAAAATGCAACCAACAAGGTTTCTGTTGAATCCTGTCTGAACAAAACCCAGGGAAAAATATTTAGCAGTAGGATATTTGTTCTATTTCAACTGACCTGGGATTTTTTTTGACCTTTATTTTAAAGGAATGCTGCATTTTATTTCTGTTTACTGCAGAATAATGAGATCACTTAGCTGTTTAGTAATAGTAACTCCTTTCATCTAAGTACACTTTAATTAAGAGCTAATAATGCAGAATTTCAGACAGAATTCTGAAAATACCATGCTAATTGCTTACTTTACTAAACAGTGTTGGCACCAAGTATTTATAACCTTCATGTTACCTTGCCATAATTAGCTTATTCTCATTAATCACTACCTCAGCCTCCAACAAGCGAGAAGTTGGTGAAAGAAGTTAGAAATATTTCTTAAATCTCTTGGTTGTACAAATGATTTACCTAGATGAAAGAGCCTAATTACTTAAAAATATGTAATTGGACCATCATCAAGATCATTATTGTGTGTGATATAAAAACACCTCCAAAGGAAGACTCAGTGACATTTAAAACAGTGTGTTCTGATAAAAAACTTTTGATTGAAATTATTTGAGCAGTGTTTTCCAAAGTGGCTACCTATATTTTTTGGATCCTTTAGTGGACCTCAAATTCAGCTACCTAGTCATAGCATCTGAGCACATAAAATGAAGTTGTGGCTCCTGAATTTTTTTTCTTATGTTGGACACTGAAAAACTTAAGGTGCACACAACTGGCTCCAGCCTGATACCTTATTGACCCTTTGAGGGGAAACTGGGTTGCCTGTTCTCTGCCAGCAGAACACTTTGCACAAAAAGCTGAAAGTTTTCTTTGTTTTTTTCTCTTGCCCTCTCTGTAGTGTCAGCTTTGTTAGGAGAGCACACAAAGGCAATTTAAGCTTTCTTCTCCTTTTGTCTGAAGGATATTCAAAATATTTTTTTTCAGATACACCCAGTAGACCCAAAGCAATTATTCTTTCTCCTGTGTAGGTTAAATGTTTATGATAATGGGTGCCAAAGTGCTATTCTGGAAAATCCAGAAAGAGTAGATGTTGAATTTTAATGATGTTCCAAAATACATCATTTATCATGAGGGATGCATTTTTCGCAGAAGCAAAGTAGTCTGTCCAATAAAATAATGATTCCCAGACATTTGGGAGGGACCTTCATTGAGGCTGTCTCCTGTTTCCTCTTGTCAGAGGGTGGAAGGGCAAAGTGATGTCACAGAGAGTGCACAGTAAAAGGACATCACACCAGTTACAGCTTGTTAAACCTCTGTACTAAGAACTCCATTCAGAAGCTAAAAAAAATGGCTTTAGTTCTGTTTCTTTCCTCTCTTGCAGGGGTTGGAGTAAAGAGGAAATCTGGTATGGAAATTAAAGTTACTTTTGCATAGGAGCTCCCATAAAGGGGCTTGGTGTGCTTAACTGGTGTGCTTTCACATTGCAGTTTTATTAGGTTGTCCTTCCTTTGCAGAATGTTCTTGCCTTTATCAGAGAGCCAACATGGCATTAGAAGTTTTTCTAAAAGCAAAGTAATTCCTAATTTAATGGCTCCTTTGATAGTATTGTCAGACAGAAAATAGTAAAGCAAACGTTGAGAGATGAGATCTGCTTCCCAAAAAAAAAAAGGAGGAAGAGAAAAGCTTTTTGGAAAATTATGAAGCTGACCTTGCTTTTGTTGGTGACATGAAAGCCTGTACTGAAGTGTAGGATGTTAATGCTGCAGCACCGTGTCTGTGTGCTTGCCAACTGAGTTAAATCCACGTGCTTACAAGTAGAATTCAGTTATTTCGCTTTTCAAGTGGTGCAAAGTTCCTTAGCAGCTTTTGAGCAGGAAAATAGTGGTAAATATGTTGGTATGACTGCACAAAGAAGTCATCATTCCTCTTTGGAAGCAGAGTTCAACAAGGCATTCTTGATTGATTTCTTTGATCAGTCAAGACATTTGGGTCTGAGTATTTTTTGTTGATGCTGAAGAAATTACAACTGTCTGTTTACCAAAGACAAGTTAGCACTTGTAACTTCTCTGTGACAGACTCTGAAGTGAAACCATGTGAAGAGATATTTGAGGACAGGAGGCAGGATGGTTTCCTGACTGTGCAAGTGGGAAGCAAGTTTGACAATAGGAATTTTATCCTTGGCTTTACAGCTGATTTACTTGAGCAGAAGCTTTTGACAGCCCATGGCATCTGTCTGTGCCTGTTTGTCCTGTTTGTGAGATGAGAAAATATGTTGTTTTGCTGCTGGGAAAACTTTTGTCTATTCCTTGGATTGTAAAAGGGGCTTTCTCTGAAGTTTTTTTTTTTTGGACTCTTGGTGAAGAAATCATATGTAATCATATAATGAATCCTCACATTTGATTTCTGGAACAAGGAATTTCCTAAACCTTGTAAGCTTAGGAAAAATTGAAAAGAAAGTACTGTGTCTACAAAAGTGGTTATGCAGCCAGCAATTTATTTTCATTACAGCACCAGCAGAAATATAGCACGGACTAAATAATTATTTATAAACATATGAAGGCTTTACTAAATAGTTTTAAAATACCAGTACTTCAGTACTAATGTATTTATGTAACATTTCATACAGACACTCAGAGGGTCTGTTCATAAGCAATCATAAAATATACAGAAAATATCAGGAGCTTCCCTTCAGCATATAAAGCAGCATGCAAAAAGGAAATTTGGGGCTTTTTGTCCCCCTACTTTTCTCCCTTTCTGATGGAAACTCACAGTAATAGGCCCTGCCATCTGCTACTGTATATTCTTCATGAGTTTTAACATTTTGTTTTTAGAACCTGAAAGATGAGTAAAATGTCAAGTCGCCCAGAAAATAATCACAGGCACGACAACTCAAATGTTGGCTCAGCTTGTCTGTGCAAAAAGTGGTTCACAGCAGGTCTGGGCCCTCCCTCTTGGCAGATGGAGCAGGTACCCCCTTGGTATTAGCTGGTATTTCCCAGCACAAGGTGAGAAGCTGGGAACTGCACCAGCAAAACTAACTCCCAGAGAAGGAGTTAACTCTCTGTTCCGTTATTAAAAAAATGTCATGGGCTTCTTGCTACCTGTTTGAAAGCCTGGATATCCTTTTTCCAGTTCTGGTTTTGCATCCTGCTGGGACCACACTGGAGCTGACAAGCTGGGAAGGTGTTAGAAAGGTGCAGGATAAGATCTTCAGCTGGAAAAATGCTCACAGCTCTTAATGGGGAGGAAAAGAACTCGCAGCCCATTCGTGCCCCCTGGCTGTCAGGCTGGGTGTGTGGCCATATCCTTTGCCTCCTACCTCCTTAACCGTGCAAAGATACAATCATTTCATTGAATCGCTTCCCAGCAGCTCGAGGATGGTTTTCATAATAAATCCTGTGCACATTTGCTGCCTTTCATTACAGTCAGAAGCCTCCTCAGAGATCTTTGCACTCTCAGCCTCTGCAAAAGCCCTTGTTACAGCATTGCAAGATTTTGCTCTTAATATTCCACTTCATAAGTCTGGAGCTTGTTTTCAATTACTTCCCTTCAGTGCTTCATTTTACTCATTCCTTTAGGAAGTCCCTTGTTCACAGGACATTTTTCAGGCTTTGCAGTGAAAGAAGATGCTCTTTACCAGGTGAGTGCTGGAAAAGACCTGAAGAAGAGCTCACGTGCCTGGTAAGGTGGATATTGCCTCCGTCTGCAAAATGGGCCATATTTTAAGGGATTGTAACTTGACTGTACTATGCCTAAGACCTAAACTGGACTTGACTTCTGTGCTAACATTTTGTTGTCTTTGGCATACCAGTTAAAAAAATAATTGTAGACAAATTGCTTACATAATGAAAAGGTCCAGAGAGACTGTAATTAAAATTACTGGCTTATACTTTTCAAGGCACCAAGTTGTCATTGAACTGCAAAAGTAGGGAACCCTCTAGACCTTTAAACCTTTGAAAATCTCCAGTCACTTTTTTTGTGCTTTTAAATATGGTCCTCCTTCAGAACACACTTAGTTACTCATCTCTGACAATAATAATGCTTTATTAAAATTATTGTGCTGTAATATTTACTGACCTTGAAAACTCTTTGATGACCTTTGCTCTTCTGTTTCGTTCTTGCTTTGCAAAGTTTGGAAGGCTGGGTTTCCATGTTACACCTGGAAAACTGAAAGAGAGACCAGCAGGATGTAAGAGTCTGGGAGATAACTCCTGAAATACTGTGTAAATCTTGGGAGTACCAAATCAAGAAGAGCATATTGAAATTAGAGAGTGAGGCTGTAGCTGATGAATAATGCTTTCCCTTTTCTTCCTACATGCTGTTTTCTTGTTTGTACTAATTTAGTGCAAGTACAGGAATGCTGGCAGCCAGTATTGTCACTGTCTGAGAAATGAGTCAGACTTTGGAGGAATCTAAGATCAAGTTGTCTGATGTGGAATAGGCTTCCTCTAACTTCTTTCTGTCTTTCTAGATTTATTTTCTTTTGTATTTCTGCTGATTTTGAAACATGACTGAAATGCTGTGTATGTGCTTGAGCTGACCTATAGAAACATAGTCCTAATAGTTGCTGTTCACCCTGTGAATGGAGCAGTGGTAAGGGCATAAGAGACCTGAAATTCATTCCTGGCTGTGTCCCAGGTTTCCTGAATGATCAGTGGAAGGTCTTTGCTCTGTGTGTCCCTTTGTTTTTCTATCCCATGACTCAAAGAGTAAACCAGTATTTAATTGCTGGTCATCTTCATGAGGAAAAGTATGGAGTTTGCATGCTATCTTTAATCTTTAAATGGTAATAAAATATCTGTTACTGCTTTGTCATATATAAAGAGCTGTTTTTAAATAGCAAAACTGATTAAACAGACATATACCTGTAAAAATACTTACATTGTTATATTAAATTTCTATGCCCAGGTTGTGTTTTCTACAGATATGTTTATATGGTGATTTGCTTTTTTTCAGGCCCTGCTTGACACTCAAAATCTTTTGAGAGCCCAGATTACAAATTTTACTTTCAACCTGGGATTTTCAGGGAAGTTTTATCACACAGGTAAGAATAAAGTACTAAAATCCCTTTCATTTTGATGGTGTTCTTTTTAGTCTGAGGACAGTAGGAAGGATGGAGACTAAAGGTCTTAGTAAGGTGTGATTTCTGCATTAGGTACCAGTGTGGAGCAGATTCAGTTCCTCCTCCCCTTTGTTAACATTCAGTTCCTTTCAGCCCCTTGTTGACTGGTGAATTCCACCAATCACATGAAATTTTCCATTGATTTCACTGAGAATCTGTTGAGCTACCACAGTTGGTCCTTTTGGATACTGTGGAGGTACAGCAATGTATATTATCCATTAAAATAATTTTGTGCTTAAACCACTGTAGGAATAGGTAGAAGGTATTAAAATAGGATGTGAACCCAGCAGAATGGTCTGACTCAACTCTGTCAGCAGTGCCTCAGCAGGCAGTAGTTTAAATGGACACATTTTATTATGTTCATACCATTCTTATATTTTCAAACATGTGTAAGATTATAATAGAAGCAGAGACTTTACTTCTGAGCTATTTTTTTTTTCCTTTTGCAGGGACTGAGGAGGAGGATGAAGGTGATGACCTGCTGTTGAGATCAGTGGATGAGTTCTGGTGGTTTCCCCACATGTGGAGTCACATGCAGCCCCACCTCTTCCACAACGAGTCCTCTCTGGTGGAGCAGATGATCCTCAACAAAAAATTTGCCTTAGTGAGTTATATTTTTGCATTTTGTATATTATTTAGGTCCTCAGAAACCATTATTCCTACTTTGTTGGAAAATTAATCCATGTAGAATTTGTTTTAGTCTCAGTGAATTGAGGGAAAAAGGAAGTTTTGTTAAAGTGCTTTTTGCAATCACTCTTTTGTGCTATGAAAATTCTATTTCTCAACAGTTTGTATTTCCTTCTCAATTAAAGTTTGATTTGGCTTTCTGAAAAAAATTACAGAAAAATTCTTTCAGAATGAAGAATTAATATGTTCTCATCTTGGAAAGTCAATATAGATAAATGATACTCTATTCCAGTATTTTTCTATAGGAAATTTTGTCCAAATAACCCATTGTTTAGATTAGAAAAAAAAATGCAATTTTCTCAAAGAATAAATGCTTCATCAAAACATGTCAAATGACTTTATGAAACCACTGCATGTTAGGATTAGTTACACGTGCCACATTTTCAAAGATGGATTTTCTGCAGTGATACCTAATAACATCTTATATATTCCCTTTGGATCAGCTTTATATAAACTTGTTTTGTAAAGCATTGCCTTTACTAATTGTTTACTCACAACCAAACTCTGGAAAAAAGGTTTCAGTGGGAATACAAGAAAAAGTAAAACCAGGTTTTAGGTCTGAGGATACCAGAGAAACAGGCTACAGTTACTTTCATACAGCAAAACAAAACCAAAATGCCAAACATAATAGATGTTATTTATCTGAAGAAGTGGTCTAATGTAAAGACCTTAGAATGTCTTACATCAGAATATCCTAGCAAACATAACTTATTTGCTGAATTACATCTATTTTTCCAACATCCTAATTTTACTTCTTCCTTTTCAAAATGCACTGGTTGCTCTTTAGTTGGCAGGTAAAGACTTTGTTCCTGGAAAGAGCAGGGGAATTTGAAATGCCAGAACAAAAGAGAGTGCACTTATGGCCATGTGTCAGTGAGTGTGGGAGGACAGTATAGACCTGAATATCAAGCAGTTGGTGTTTGTATTTGAAAACTTAGCTTTTAAGTAAGGTACATGCTTTCTTTCGAGATTTTACCAAGTTGACTGAAAATTGTAGTTGTACTGAGTACAGGCCAGCTCAATTTTAATGTTTCCTTTCAAGAAAGCATTCCAATAGAGGTTAGATTCAGGAAAATTTAAAAATCCTGTGCCCACATTTCCCCTTTTAATACAGTTCTGTGTGCTGTTCCAAGCTCCACTGGAAATGAGTTCTTGTGGTTCTGGTGTGACCTAAGACATCCTCTGGGATTAGTCTACAGCATGTAAGCATTAAAGGATGTTATTAGAATAATGCATATTCAACCCTGGTTTACAGAACTCCATGAATTTCCATGTTCTTCACTACTTCCAGTGCTCTTAATATGCACCCATTTTTCTCTGAGATAAGACTTAGAATCCTTTCATATTTCTTAGTAGCTAGTTTATTCAGATGAAGAGATCCAAGTGTCAACCCACTCTTTGCACACAAAGTATGATTACAAAAAAATGCTGAAGATGACCATATGAATACAACCAGTATAAAAAACTCTAAAGCAGAATTCAAAGGCAGTGCGAGGGCAGCCTTCCTAAATCATGGCAACACAATGACATCTTATGGCCTGTGCATTCTGCTAATCAGACTGTCAAAGAAAGATCTTCTATCCCCTGTTCCTTTGAAAAGTAACCTGAAAGAAAATACATTAAATATGAAGAGAAGGTAGTAGCAGCAAGGTCGGTATGTAAACAAGATAAATGACAGAGTCTGCAAAAACAGGAAATGTACTACAAAAGGGTTTACTGCACAACATCTGCCTGTGGAATGTTACAAGTGGTTATCTTTTATCCTTTTTTAAAATGGCACTGAAATCGTTAAGCTGGTTTTTGAATATGGTTTTATGTTTTGAGTGGACTAGAGGGGACACGCAGTGACTGAAATTCAGCTCCTCATCCAAGTAATTGTGAAGGGACATGCAGTGGAAATCACACTTGTGTAACAGCAACTGCCAAATGCTGCCTCTTGTGTGGAACATGTGCCATTTGCTCTCTGAATTCTCTTCCATCTCCCTTCCAGATCAGCATCCTTTGATATTACTCTTATTTGCATTTCAGACCTGTTCTTGATCTCTCATAAAAAAGGATCTGAGAACTACCAAAACATCAAACTTTTAAAGTTTTTGAAAGCAGCCATTGTTCTGTTATGTTTTAGGAACATGGTATTCCAACTGACTTGGGCTATGCAGTGGCTCCACACCATTCTGGAGTGTATCCAGTACATGTTCAGCTTTATGATGCCTGGAAAAAGGTCTGGAACATCCGAGTTACCAGCACAGAAGAATATCCACATCTTAAGCCTGCAAGGTACAGACGAGGCTTCATCCACAAAAGCATCATGGTGAGTTGGATTGATGATGTTCACGTTGTACTCTGCCATTTTATGAACAGTTTATTCTTAAGTGGAAAAGCACAGTATCCTGAAAGTTCACATTGTGAGAAGCACATATTGCTCTGCATAAGTAGCAAGATATATCTGACAGTGCCTTGTTAATTAAAATGAGCCTGTTGCTGATGATGTTACTGCTGATGAAGGTGGCATCCAGGCACCCCGCTGTCAACAGTTTACAGGCTGTTCGCTCCTCTAGTCCTACTGTTAATGCTGGTTCAGAGATCTCAAGGAAAAAATCAGCTTGGCATGGTTCAACTGAATAGGATGGGTTAGGTTTCTCTCGGGTTTTTGGGAATTACATCATTCACAGCCCCCTTTGCCAAGGGAAGGGGTTGTACACAACCGGCACGGAAGGCGTTGTGCTGCTGCCATCTGGTCACTGGGGAGGAGGCTATTTCAGATTCACATCCTGTCATTATTATCTCAGAAGTGTTTCTAAACAGCTTTCCAAAATACTTGGGGACATGTTCTCGAGTAACTTTCTTTTGGAGCATGTGAGAAGAGCGGAGAACAGGCAGGATCTGGGGGGTGTGCTGTGTTATACCTCTGGCTGCAACAAGCAGTTCTGGAGGGTCAGCTGCCTTACCACAATATTGCCCCTTAGAACAGAATTCTGGTATTGTTGTAAAGTTGCCATGGATACCACTTTGCTTAGCTAAATAGTAATATTTTAAAGTTTTGATCTATTTTTGGGTGAAGCAAATTAAAAATGATCTCCAGAAATCCAGGAACAAAATTGACACCGTACAGGTCTGAGCTACAGTTTGTTCTCCTCAGAGCAATCCCTGCATGTAAAATAATGTTCATGGATGTGCTCAGGGAGCATGAAGCATTTGGGGAAGATGGATTGACTTGGAATCTCCAAAAATCTCTTTCATGAATATTTGTAAGAACACGTCATTTGAGTCTCACATAATGAGATTTAATACAAGGACACTGTGGCCAAAACCTGCTTCCAAGAACAGTCATATAAAACCACCTGTTTGGGGAGTCTCAAGCTTTCAGTTCTCCTGGGCAAAGGCATTAATATTTTACATCTGCAGGCTTATAGTAATGAATACATTCAGTAATAAAATCAGTGTGTAAGATTTGCCAGAGCATCTCCCAGCCAGTACAGCTTCATTGCCTGCCTCTGTGAAGAACTGTGCTCATATTTCATCAGTGCAATCCAAAGGTTTTTTAAAAACATATGGAAGTTTATAGCAAATGTACAAATTCCATACATTTTCTGACAACACAGAATTTACAATCTGTGGTCACAGTATCCTTTACATTACAAAAAATGTTGAGAATTGAAATGCAAGAAATAAAAGAGTGTCTACAAAACCACAGGCTATGTCAAATAAGGCACTTTGTATTTTCAAAGCTAATCTGTCATAACTATCCCATTGTAAGAATTTTACATGAACACCCACACTCAGCTGTTGATTTTCTGTAAGGGATAGACATAGCTTAAATACTCTCCAGCAAATTATTTTCTGAAATAGATAGAAAATATTTTAAATTTCTGCTGGAAAACTTAACTGCATTTATTAGTTCTTCCTATTCAAAAGATTTGTTCTTAGAGTGTTTTCTAAAATAATTTTGTTTGTACTATTTTGTATTGCAACTGGTCTTCCAAAACTAGCACAGTTAATTGAGAAGGAAATCTTTCTTATGATGTGAAGATTATTGGCTAAATTCCCCACATGTAAGTGTAGAATTATTGCTGCTGATGCCTGGGCCAAAATAAAAAACCAGTTTGACTTTGAGATTCCAATTTAAATTTACAACAAAGCCATCATTCAAATAAAAGTGGAACTAATTAATACAATATAGACTGATAATATTTCAAATTATGTTTGAAAATATCTTAAAATTTTAGAACTCATTGCTGACTGCACTTCAAATACTTGGTTGTAGGATGAGGTGTTACAGACAAAGTAAATATGATGAATTTTTGGATGTTGTGATTTCAGTGTTAATAATTCAACTAGATTATTACTGACTTCTGACAAAGTCGAGATGCCAAATCTACCCAGCAATTATCAGTTATGTGTTACTTATCTGGCATTTATTATCTCATTAAAAGTATAAACTCTTGAGTCTTTTTTTAAATTATTTTTTTAATAAATTCAGGTGCTTCCTAGGCAAACTTGTGGCTTGTTCACCCACACCATTTTCTATAAAGAGTATCCTGGAGGTCCAAAGGAGCTAGACAAAAGTATTCAAGGAGGAGAGTTGTTCTTCACAGTGGTTCTCAATCCAGTAAGTAGAATGTCATTTTGAAATGTTTAAAACAAATTAATTAAAGGAAAACACATGTGGTCTCCTTCCTAGAGGATGGCAGGAGTCCCAGGGTATTGGTACCATAGCAGTGCTTGGGCAATTCATGGATTTTAACTGAAAGTTACTGGGCTTAGCAAATGAGATTTAGAGGAAGGCATAGGAACAGCATTTTGAGTCTGGACAAAATATATTCCATATTGAAGCACAGCCAAAAACTATTTTACAACAGTAGGAAAACAGCAAGATTTAATATGGGTGCTTGAGGCATAAGCCTTTCAAATTAAAAGAATTAAGAGAGCAGAGGAGAGGACAAGGTAAGAGGTGAAACAATCGTAATATTTTGGTATGAATGACCTTTGATTGTCCCTGCCTGACATCCTTGAACGTGAGTGCAGTAATGTCTTTTTATGTATTACAATTAGGTCTTCAAGTCATGCATTGCTATGTAGGCTGTATGAACACCTAGTTCTGAAAATTGGGATATCCCCAATACAACACAGGCTAAAAAATAGAAATGAAACACATTATTTTCTAAATATAACTGTAAACAAATATTAGGCCAAAACCTGCCCAGGACCAATTGTTAAAATCCTTTTAGGGAGTGCCTTTGTAAAGATGATGCATATTTTAAATATCTGCTTATAAATAGTTTCTAAAGTTCTCAGCATTAGCCTGGAATGTAATAATTTGGAAGATTAGGGTTTGCACCTTTGTTGGTTTTATGTATTGCTTGTATTTATATTGTAATTTGCTAGTCAGAATTAGATTTAGGCACTAAAAGGCAAAGATTTAGACATTAAAATGAAAACAAAGTAGCTTTAGGAGTCTGTCTAATTACGAAGTGACATTTTGAACTTCATAAACTTTCCTGTATTCTCATTAAAACTGCTGGGATTTCTTAATGTGGAAACACTCAGCTTTTCAGGGGATGCAAAAATTCCCATATGAGACATTTTCTAAATGTTATTTTTCACTGACAGAAAACTAAGAATAGGAAACACTAACCCAGGAATCATTACAATGTCAGCTAAACAATATTCTGAACAATGAGAATTTCCAGAAATGGGTGTGAAGTCAATGTAAATCTTAACAAATCCCTTCATTCTGTTTAATTTGGATGACTGATCTTAAGTGAACATAGTTTTTGAGGTGTAAGTTCCCAGGCTAAGACTTCAGTGAGTACCCTGCACTGAAAGAGGTGCCCCCAAGAAAGAGCAAAGCCCAAAAGTTCTCTGTGGTTTGGCTGTGCAATGGTAGTTTTTCACAAGAGGGGCTCTGCTTCCTTGTGGTGTTCCAGATCAACCACGATCTGCAGAATAAACCACAAAACCCCACAGTATATTTTGTATTTTGTCTGTCTGTCTTCTCTTCAAGATCCTGCTGACTGCAGCGGCCCTCAGGCAAGATCATGCTATATCAGGGTCTTCCACAAAATGTTTTACAGGAGAAAAAATAGCAAGTTTCAGCAGCCCTGTATTATTAGTATACTGGCATTATTTTCCCCTACATTATCAGTTGAATAATTAACTTACAGGGAGGTTGTGTGACTCGCACTGTTTCAGCCAGGGAATTCTGTAGCAAAGCCACAAGGAAAACATGCATTTTAGAAGTGTGTAGTGATGAGTATCTCACCCAGTCAGACAGATCTGTGTCTTTGTTTTATTATCTCACATTGTTACTATTTTTCCTAGCACTGTACTGACTTCAAAACATTTTACCAAGTATTTTTCCAGATAGGCTTGTTAGAATCCTCAGTGACTTCAGATTGATCTCTCTCTATCTGCAGTATTCAGTGAAATTCTTGGATTAGTAAAACAAATTTCTGTTCAGTATCTCTTAAAATGAAATTGTACCAGTCTCCTAAGCATGTCTTGTAACTGGTGAAGGAAGTGAGCCATTAAATGTTGAGCTTTGTATAACAATGAGGTGGGTATGGACCCTGGCATCAGCCATGTCATTTCTTCTCAGGTGTGCTAGTAAATCTCTTTATCTATACTGGCTGAGGCTCTCTCAATAACTCTGATAACCCAGTCCTAAAATACCCTTTGAACTGTGGAAGATACAGACTGGGAGCTCTGCTGTCTTACAAGATGAATGTTTTAGGGGAACCAACAGTTCATGAAAAATTCCTATAGCTTTTCTACCCCTAAGAACAACAAACATAAAAGATTACAGTAATTGCATTACATGCACTTCCTTACAAGTGCTGTGTGTCTGCAGGTGGAAAGTAAAGGGAAAATGCCCTGTGGAGAGAAATTTGGTGAAAGCCTTCGAATGGTTGACAGCCCAACAATGACAGTAATGTGTAGCCAGCTGTGTGTTCTCCACATGGGTACAGCAGTGCTGATCAAGAGGGAAGGCTGTTAATGCTTTAAGCCCTTTGATTGATCTTAAAATAATTGTAATCTTTGTCTGCACTCAGTTCTAAGTATTATTTTCTTCTTAATTTTTACCTCTCCCCAGTTGCAGTGAGTAGAGCTGTTATTAAGCTAATTGACTTGCAGCAAGGGAGAAATTATCTCCTTTAGCACTAAAAATGAGAGGGTTTGTGTGAGCATCAGCAGAACCTACTGTATCTTAATGTGACCCTGAACAAAATGAATACCCAGGCTTTGGCACTACAGAGGTAAAAACAAAAACAAAGGCATTCAGGCTCAAATCTTCCCTTTCTGTCTGTCCTGCTTGGCACAACCTCATATTTAATTGTACTGAGTGTGAGAAGCAGGAAAGATGGCTCAGTTTGACAAGCTTGAGTGAGAAAGGCATCTCAGTTTCATCTGCACCCTTCCTATCTGTTCTTCAAAACCCACCCATAAAAGCCAGACAGAATCTGGTATTTTGTGGGTGGAATAGAAAAAAAACCCACAAAAAAATCCTAAATGAACAGGCAGTATGGAAAGGCTGTGGAACAGACAGGATTAGCTATCTCATTAGAAGTGATTCCTTGGAACAGTGTACAGGAGATGCATCAAAGTTGTGACCAATAAGAGAACTTTGCCCTTCTGTGATCCTTAAAATAATCAAATGGAAAGCCTTGCACAAGTGGTTTATTCTATCACTGTGTCAGTCTAATGGAGCAAAACCAGCTGTTACTGAGCCTCTGAATACCTGAAAGAAAATGTTCTAAGCAACTTGGAAACAATATGAGGACTGCAAACAGAGTGTGCACAACGCCAAATTAATTGGAATATAAGTGTTCTGAGAGTTAGACGTACTCTTGTGGCCTGTAAACATTAGCTCAGTAGCTAAAAACTCAGCAATATACTCAACTGGTAATGCATCTGCTCCTAGTGCCTAGCTGAGCCCACGTAATTAATTGTCAGTCATAATTGAACTTCATTTTGGAGTGTTGTACATAACTTCATTGAGAGGCCTCAGTGCTGCCTTTTCATGTTGTTGCACAGATTGAAGGGTGACACAGTGCCCGTGACTAAAGTACCTTGATGTCTGGTTTAATAATATGAATTTATTCAAGTTGGAATTGCCTGCAATAAATCTATATATGGTAAAAAAAAAAAAAAGAAGTATACACCCAGTATGTAATAAATGTTTATTACCAGTTTTTTCTTATACAAACTCTTCTAGTCACAGATTTAAAATGCCAGAATAATTAATCTGTTTAACATCATCAGTATCCTGAAAGTCTCAGACCTCCCTCCATTTCCCTGATGGGGAAGGAGTGCAGAAATTCTGGGGAGAAGCTGGAAGGGGAAGGCAGAGTATAGGGAGGCACCTTGACTGCTCTGATTTGAAAATGTGCGAGAGCAGGAAAGGAGCTGCTGCCTAAAGCCAGATTTAGTCCCAAGCCATCATTTTAAAAGTTGTCTGCATTCCATTTGAGTTCCCTCATGAAAGATATTAAATCCTGTGGAGACTGTGCATTGAAGTGCAACCAAGATGATAGTTTGTGTATGAGGAACAGCAAAAAAGGGTGATCCTCCTGCACTGAGAGAAAGAAAATGCTGAGATGCCCTGAAAGAAATTATTTGAGAAGAGCGCTGGAAATAAGAAAATCAAATGAGCTCTTTTTATCTGAAAGGGAGGTTAAAATGCTTGTTAGAGTAAATATAAATCCATTCACAGCTGCTTCCCTTTTGAAGAAGGAATAAAGAAATATATGAAGCTCTGCTTGTATTTTACAGCATTTCCCAGAGGTGCAACAATATTGAACAAATAGTGTTATTTACTAGGTCTGGCCTTGTGAGATGCCCACAAAGGATTCCTTTTAAATCTCCTGATCGCTGGTTCTAAGAGAATAAATCTTCAGTAGTACAGTGTGCTGTTAGTTGCAGACAAAGAGTAATCACTCTCCCTAGTTAGAACTTGTTTGAATGAATCAGGGTGTGGTATGGTAGAGCAAAACAAAGCATCATAACTCAACGTGGAAGGCAAAAAATATTCATTATGTGTTGTCTTGGTGCACAGGGAGGTGGGTGGTGACACACCATCCCTCTCAGCTTCATCTGTTGCATTTTTGATGCCATATAGAAGTAAAGGAGACCTTTTCTTTAATATAAAGTCATGTATTAGATGGTGTATTTGGTTACATTAAGTATGGACTTCTCTACAAGAGTCAGTCATTCAAGTTTCAAACCAGCATTTGATCGTCTTTGTTACGAATAATTAACCATAAAGTTTTTGACATACAAAAACCCCCCTGTAAAATGGGAGCTAAGGTCTCTGATGTATTTTTCCCCTTCACTGGCACAGTTTTATATGCTAGAAATTATTTATGATGATATGTCCAATCAGCTTTTCAGCCTGCACTCTTGACATTCTTAAAATTACAGTGATATTCTCTTCAGGGGAAAAAAATAATACATATTTTCCCCAAACTAGCAATCTTTTGAACTGCTCTTGCTTTTTCTTTCCTGGCAGTGCTGTAGCTGCTGGCAGGTGAGGAGTTGCCAGGAGGTGAATTGACATTAAAAATGTCAGAGGTCAGGCCAGGTGTAGGAAAAGAAAGAGGCTGTCAAGAAAACAAGTTAACCTTTTTTATGGAAACCTGCTGATCATACCTTTGTTGAGAACAGCGTTGTCCTGTGGCTGGTCTGTTCCTGCTTTGAGAACTGAAATAAAAAAAAAACAAACTTGAAAAGGTTATACATTTGGTTACCTAAAGGGGAGGGGTTTTCAGTCTCAGTCCTGTCTGCAGTAGATTCCAGTTTTTCTTTCTTTTCTTCTTTTGTTTTTTTGAATTGAAGGCTGGAAGTCCTTTACAAAAGATTAACTTCAGTTCCTGAACTAATTTCAGAATTATGACCATGATAAGCCTTTCTTTTTTTAAAGTGGCTTACATCAGGTCTTACTTTAAATAGAAATTGCTCATTCATGGCATTAGCAGATTTATTTATAAAAAGAGTCATGTTTCTAATTTTTTAGTGGAAATCAGTCTGGAGAGTTTATCTTGAGAGAGCTCTATTTTAAAAAGAACTTCAAAAAAGGACTCAGAGAGGTGAGGGTTGCAGATTTCAGTGTCAGAACAGACTGTTTCATCAGTGAAAAATTACCTTGGAAAATGGATCATTGTACAAAACAGAGGGTTCAGTCTTGAGTCCATGTGTTCCTGCTCTGCTCATCAGCACAGGTTTTAGGTGCATCCAAACACACCCTTGCTATGAGAAACCTCCATGGAAGCATGTGGAAGTGCACTGGATCACAGGAGGGTGTCTCTGAGCATCACTTCCAGTGCTGGGAGAGTAAAAGTAAAATACCAACAGCCTTAAAACTTGGGGATTTTTTTTTATTTGGGAGTGTTTTATGCACAATTATTTGGATGTACTCAGTTGGGTTTCAGAGGGTTTCTTTGCTTTTTCTGTGTATGATTGTCAACCCAGTGCTTGCAGAGTGGCTTTGTAGAAGAGATGAGTTATTTATCCTGTGGAATTTACAGCTGGAGCAAAGATATTTAAATCACAGCAATAGAGGTCAGCTACCTCTTGGTCTCTGCCTTCTTTACTCTTCCAAGGAAACAGAAATCACATTTTTAACATTGCATATGTATTCCACTTTAGTTAAACTTGCAAGCATTGTTTTTGCTCTATCCTCCATTAAGTAAATTTACATAAAGATTATGTCAGGATTGCCCAGCCCCAGGGTGGGATTGCATACCCTGGTGCTCACAGAGCTCATGGGACCTGTTCCAGCGTTTTCCTCAGTGATTGCATGGAGTTGACTTGAGAAGGAGGAGGTAATTCAATGAAGAGCAAGGGTAGTAAGGTCTGTGTGAATGTGATCCAAGTCCTGCAGCAATAAATAAGAGCAGAAGGCAAATGAGATTTATATTATCTGGGGTTGCACTGCCATCTAGTGATCCAGAGGCTCAAGGTGTGCTGCCTTTATTTTGTCTCCTACAGATCAGCATCTTCATGACACACTTGTCTAACTACGGAAACGACCGCCTGGGCTTGTACACCTTTGTCAACCTGGCCAACTTTGTTCACACCTGGACAAACCTCAAACTGCAAACCCTTCCTCCAGTTCAGCTGGCTCACAAGTATTTTGAACTATTCCCTGAGCAAAAGGACCCTCTCTGGCAGGTGGGCAGGTTTGCTGATTCGGAGATCAGAAAAAAATTGTCTCGATGGTGTTTCTTGTGAAATTCTTTGTTTTGGTTTCTTGTAGAGAAAAGCATTCATATTTTTAGATTTACCAGTTGGTTCCTTAAAACAGCTTATTGAAGCTTCAGTGTGCGATTGTGTTACCTACCACTTGTAAAAGGCTGTGAAATGGATATGTATTAAGATGTATAATTAAAATTATCTTTAATTCATTTTGTTTGTGACTGTACTTTTAAAAACGTGGGGAAAGGCAGGAAAGTGCATGTTGAGTTATTTCTCTTCTCCTTTTGGAACTAACAGCAGCGAAGCATTTGACAGAGAGGTGTATATGCATATTCTAGCAGTTGAAGAAATGAACTTTTCTCCAGGTGTATAAAGAGAAGAAAGAGCATTAAGACCACGGATACCCTAATGCTAAACTGATTAACCGAGTAGAAATAGATTTAGATAGATTAGAAGGTTATAGAAAAGGCTGAGAACTGCCCCAGGAAGAAGTTTACCAAGAAGCTGTAGGTACCTGAGTCCTTGCAGTGATAATATGTAACCCAGGTATCATCTTCTTGAGGTGACTTGCTAGAAATACTCTGAGGAGCAGACATTATTAAATCAAACATTAAAATGTATTTCAGCTTGCTTACTCAGATGTTTTCCAGCCTTGGATATTGAATTGCCAACTTAGGATCTGAGACTGCAAATTTGTACTTAAATATGCATCTTGAAATTCATGCTGTTTTTGAATAAAACATTGAATTGGGGTGGAAAATGTCAGGAATTTTGCATTATACTAAGATAAAATGAATTTAAAAATGGAAATTAGCCTGTAGCCAAATTACTCGAAAAATTATAATTACTTAGAAAAGACATTTGTAAGTAACAGTGACTAAGGCATACTGAATAAGGTGTATTTTGTCTATAATGTTCATTAATCTGAGTACAGTTACATATTTTTAAGCCTAGAAAGGATACATGAAGATAATTCCCTTCACCTCAGGGCAGTACTTCCAAACAACAGTGTCAAAAACTGTTTGCAAGTAGGATTTCCAAAACAAATTTAAACTGATTCAGTTGTAAAGCAGCAAATGAAAAAAACAAGATTAATTTTACATACTGGTTTGAACTGGAGGATCAGAATATGTATGTGTATGGAAAGCCTTAAATCATAATTAATTTACCCTTTCAGTTTAAAAACTGCAGCATGCATAGTGTGGTAGCTGTTCTAGTAATGTAGAATTAAAAATCAGTGATTAGATAACTCATCAGCAATTTAAAGTCTTTCTAACTTGTATATCATTGATATATTTGTACGTGGGTGAAAAATTGGTAGTTTATACGTAAAGATAATTTAAGAGCCTTCTCAGGTGTGATGACCAGTGAAACTCTGAGTTTTCTTCTCTGTTTCAGAATCCCTGTGATGACAAAAGGCACAGAGATATCTGGTCTAAGGAAAAAACCTGTGATCGATTGCCAAAATTCTTGGTCGTAGGACCCCAGAAAACTGGTGAGATTTTATTGCATTTCAGCAAGATAGGCTGTGTGGCAGTTGAAATAATTTTAGTCAGGCTACTGTGTAGAGATCTTGATCATCTAACAGCATTTTTTAATTTTCAGATATCACCCCAGGGTACTTTAATAACGTGAGTTACAACAACAGGACAGTAAACATAAATGAAATGCAGGGTTCAGGTGTGTGTCAGATTTTGGGGGCTTTCTGTCAAAATGAGTAACACTTTGTTGATGACAGTAAGACAGACAAACTCTTGTCAAAGTGGAAAGAGGAGATGACAGGACAGACATTTTTCGAAGGGTTGGATTCTGAATTGCAAGTACTTATCTGTCCTGCAAGTGTCTTGTTTATAGAAACCTGTTATTTCTTGGCATTTATTTCAAGTCAGGAAGTTGCTAATGGACAGTTTGAATTGCAAGATTGCAGTAGCTTATAAATTAACTTAATGGTTAATTTTCTTCTCTGTAATCAGAAAATTGCATATGTGCTTCCTTTCATCTTCACCAGTCCCTAATAGCTCCTTGAGTGCAAGAGTTCTAAATTATTTTTTGTGACAGTCTCACTTAAACCAATAATTATTTTTAAAACACAGTTATTATAAGTGTGAAAACCAGATTTCAGGCATTGGCATTCCAGTTCTTTTGTTAACTATTTACAGTTCTTTAAATGTCTTCCTTCTGAAAACTCAGAAAGCACAGCATCTTAGGTGACATAAATCAGTATCCTCTCACTGAAATGAAATGGAATAAAGCTGGTTTAGTCCATCTGTGAGTATGATCTCCCAAAAAATGTGTGTGTGTGTGTATTTTTTTTTTTTTTAAATCTTGGACTTTTATCCTATTTGCAGGTACCACAGCCTTGTATTTGTTCCTGATCATGCATCCTTCCATCATTAGTAACTCCCCCAGCCCAAAAACCTTTGAGGAGGTACAGTTCTTTAATAGAAATAACTACCACAGGGGGATTGATTGGTAAGATGGGTTATTAGTATAAATATACAAGTTTATATATTGTGAACAATACAAAAATGACATTACTGTTGGTAATGGTAACTGTGCATATATAGAGTGAGATAAGAAATAACCTTCAGTGAAATGAGAAAGAAATGCAAGTGAAGAATAATCTTACTACAGAATGTCATAAATGCATTGACTTTTATGAGGCTTTCTTGTATAAATCCGTATATTAATATATGCAAAACAGTAACAAAATATGTTTTTCTCATTCTCACATGCTTTTGAAGTTGGGACAGTAATGGTTGTTAGTTGGATATATGGACACAAAAATTATGTTCCCGTTGTAAGTCTTATTTCTTAGGAGAAAAAACAAGCAGGGAGAGGCATTTTTTTCCTTGAAGTAAGATTTAGAAATAGTAATCATGTAAAAAGGGGGACAGGAAAAGCCTCTCAAAATGTTCTTTAAAATTCAAATAACTGGGAGGACGTGTCTCTGTAGGTTAGTAAGGGATGGTAAAACAAAGCATGTGTCCCTGCTGCCATGTTCTGTGTGGGTACCAGGAAGTCACAGGCACAGCTCCACCAAAGTCACTCCTGGTTTCTCCTCTTCCAGAAAGGGCTGCACTGTACAGCACTGCACGATGAGAAGTGGTAACGTGTCCTAGTGGCTGGGGAGCACCACTGAAGGATTATTGATTTTTTTTGTCCTGTTTCTTTATTTTACCCCCAGTTTAAGGGAAAGTAGGTTTATTGCCTTTGACTTCGTATTCATCCATAAAATTACCAGGGTGAGCACAGTTCTGTGGTCTCTGTGCAGACACGTCAGATCCAATTTGTTTGCCAGTCACTCGGTTTTCCGAGTTGTCATTGGTGCAGCAGATTTTGACTGGAAAGCCTGGCGAGTCAGCCAGTTACAGCCAGTTGAGAGGTGCTGGCTGAACAACTGGGAATGGGAAGGCTGCCTTCTTGCTGCTGAGGCTTTTGGAGTCAGTGAAGATGACAGGCAAGCCAGGCATAGCAGCTCCACACTGATGGAGACAGCCTAAGTACAGTGAGCCAGTTCTTCCACACAATCAAGATTTTCTTGTTGCTGGAAGACCCCTTTGCTGCTTCTCTCGTTCCTCCTGCCATATCCACTTCCCTAACGTGCAGGTGCAGTTTGGCTGCCAGACCTGTGCCAGATTGCCTTCATCTTAACATGGCACTGGTGCATAAAGCTCGTGGTGGTCAACCTGTATAGACCAGGCATGTCCTCTTGACAGGTTCTCCCCACAGCACCCACCTGTGCACTGGGTGCCCCTCTCACCACTGCCAGGTTCTCACACTTGAGTCTTGGATCCTCACAACCACCCACTGGTGTAGCTGCTTCATTTTAGATTTACGTTCTGTCTGCCAGACAGATATCTCAGACTTCCTAGTCTGATAGTGTATTTTAATGCTGGCTTGTAATGAGCTTACTGAGTGGTAATTAGATAAAAGCTCTCTCCTCATTAGTCCATTAATTGGCCAGGATTCTTGTAAAAATCATGAATAACAATCAGTTCAATTTCTTTTGGGGTTGTGTAGATGCAGCTTTATCCCTGACCCTAACTGAGGCTTTGGCTGGGCTAGCTACAGAAGCAGAAGAGGTTCTTTCAGCCCTCATGACATCAGTATTACCATTTTGAAAGCAGGATAGGTGTAAGTTGTCATCAGTGGTCTTCAAGAGAGGTTGTTTTAAATGGCATTTTTTAATTTTATCAGTAGAGTTTAACTGAAGAATCAAGAAGACAAACATTTCCCGTTTATTCTTTTCCCCAACAATAACGAGAAGTTGTCTGAGGGCCATGGATAAAGAAGACTATTGCTTGAATTCAACTTCCTGATGGATGAGGAAAGCTCACAAAACTAAAAGGAATACAACCCATGTTTTGCCAAAACTGGGTCTCAGAACAATAAGTGAAATGTTCTGTCACTGCTTAGAAACCTTTTACCTAATGAAGCTGTGTCAGTGCATCTTCCCCACATAAACAGACTCATTTTGAGTGAAAGCAATTCTGATACTGAGTATCTTTTTCTTACAGTTTTGCACTGTAATTGATGTCAGCAAAAGGGCAAATTTGGAAAACTCAGTTTCTGCTTTTGGCTTCGGCAGTTTGTTCTGACTGAAAAGTGAGAATTTGCTAATTTTAAGAAGATACATGAATATTGTAACATTTTCATCGAGTTACAAAAAATAGCTGCAATGTCTAGTTATATGTAGTGAGAAGAAAGCTAGTACCAAGTAAAATATCATCAAAAATATAATGTAAACTTCTGTTTGCTTCTATTTGGCAGTTAGCTTTTATTTTGAGTGTTCCAGAGTAAAATATGCTTAACGGATTTATCAACCTTCGTGTGATTTTTGAGTAAATCTGAGGATGATGTTGCTTTCCTAGGTACATGGATTTCTTCCCCACTCCTTCTAATGTCACCACCGACTTCCTCTTTGAGAAAAGTGCCAACTATTTCCACTCTGAGGAAGCTCCCAAGAGAGCTGCTTCCCTCATCCCCAAGGCCAAGATCATCACCATCCTCATCGACCCGTCCGACCGGGCGTATTCCTGGTACCAGGTACGGCCCTGGAAGAACACAGGCAGGCACAAATCAGGGTTTCCACCTTGAGTCCTCTCTGTGTATGCTCTCAGTATATATGTATGTAAAGGGTTTGGATAGTGCAAGCTCTTATTCGTCAGTCAGTGACCATACGTGATCACACATGGGCTGAGGTGTGTCTCCTAATCCTGGAAGTATTTTAAGGGTTGAAATACCAGAAAACACCTTTTCAAAAGTCTGCCTATAATATAAACATGATAAAGTGCTTATTTGATTAATTTATGTAAATGGCACATCCAGAAATTAGTCTATAGACACAGTTATCTAGTTCGTGCTCAAAATACAGGATAGATTAAGAAATGTTTGTCAGTAAGACCAACTAGTTTTGTCTGGTTTTCCCAGCTTTTGTGATCTGTAACGTTCAGCAATGTAACTTCTTTTACAGCATCAGCGATCACATGAAGATCCTGCAGCTCTGAAATTCAGCTTCTATCAGGTGATCACAGCTGGTCCTCGAGCCCCCTCTGAGCTCAGAGCTCTCCAGAAGAGATGCCTGGCCCCTGGATGGTACGCTATCCATATTGAAAGATGGCTAACTTACTTCCCACCTTATCAGGTGAATAAGACTGTAACTTGACATCCTAACCTTAAAGATATATATATATATATACTGTCTTAAACTTTACCTTTGTAAAAACCTTGCCTACTGAATGCTGATCCTTGGGGATATTCTACAAATCATTATCCTCCTTCTGGCCCTGTGTAGGATCAGGCCTCAAGAGATGCACGTCCTAAGCCCTGAATGTCATGTGATAACACAAGGCCAGGCAGACAGTATCACATGATCAGTATCTCCTTGGCAGATTTATTTCTGGAATGGATTTCCATGACATTAGCAGTGTGTCTGGCACTGCTCCCCACCCAACAGTTAAAGTTACTTCACTTGAGGGAGGCTGGCTGCAATCCAGACCTTCTGTTTATCCAGGACTCTTCTGGCTGAGACAAGTTGGCTGGAGTCTGCACCTTCTGTTTTCCCAGAGTGTGCCAAGGAAGCTCTGATGCATCCAGTTGGTTTTATTCTCCACATACTCTCTTTTCAGCCAGCCTTGTATCTTCTCTTAGTGAGATACACAATACTGTAATATGATGGTGTTCTTATGAAATTCTCTACGTTATGTTTTCATAGCTTTTCTCCAAAATCGATCCATGAATATTGAACAATAAGCATTGTCATGCAGATTTTTACCAGATTTTACATCCCACAGTGATAGTGAAGAACTGGTAGCCTTATGTTTTCTCTGTAAAAGTACTAGCCATTAATATAATTTTTTCTTGGCTGGACCAATCTCTCTCAATTTCCTGCCAATATTTCTTATCTTTCTAGGTCCTTCATTATTATTTCGGTGTTGTCACAACACCTTCCAATTTAATATCATTTCAGAGTTAATTAACATGCCATTTACCCAGGTCATTAATGATGATGATAATTAAAACTGGACCAATTATCATTTCCTGGTGCAGTACTCTCCATGTAATGAAGGAGTTTGACAGAGGTGGAAGTTTCAGTTTGAAGCTCGAAATAATGAATTTTAAATTAAACTTCCACTTATTTTATCTGTTATAGTTGCTCATTATTGATGGACAGCAGCTGAGAACTGACCCATCTACCGTAATGGATGAAGTACAGAAATTCCTGGGAGTCTCTCCTCACTATAATTACTCTGAAGCCCTAACGTGAGTTAATTAATTTATCATTTTCACATGTTCCTAACATTCCTAAAATACCAGTTAGTGTGTAAGTAAGGTCACTGCAAAATAAAGCCTCTCATACTTGTTTGAGCTGTCAGCAGGATGTATTCCTCAGAACACAGCTCAGGGTTAAATTTTCCACAAGTCATCCCCTGAGCCACTCAATGCTGACAGACAAAACTTTGTGACAATTGCGTAGGAATTTTGGATCAATCAAAAGAAATTTTACTTCCATAAGCGGAACACAGAATGCTGACATGCATGAACAGGAAGGGAGTAGAATTAGTTTCTCTTTATTTTTGACTTTAGCTGAAAAACAGATTCAGTAGTATCAGTCAGCAATGTAACATCTGCTCTGTACCTCATAAATACACGTGCACACAGACCTTTTGGATTCTGACACTTAGATTTGGTTGCCCTTAAAATAAGGCTGTTAACTTTAGGTTAAACCTTTTAAGTCTTCAGTCTAAACTTTAAAGATTTATCCTCCTTGAAGTATTTTACAGCCTTTACACCACAAGATATTTGTTTCAGGTTCGACTCACATAAGGGATTCTGGTGTCAGCTCCTGGAAGAAGGAAAAACAAAGTGTCTTGGAAAGAGCAAAGGCAGAAAATACCCTCCTATGGATTCTGAGGTAAACTGTTATGCTCATTGGCATTGTGCAGGGATTCAGCTGCCACATGTGGGACGTGATGCAGGCAAAACCATAAGAAGGGAGAGAAGACCAAATGAAGTGCTTCTGAAACCCTGTCCCCTTTACCTTATGGACTTAAGCAGCAGGGGCTCCACAGCACATGTGTTTCCTCAGTCATGGTCAGATATTTGTATTTCTGTCTGGTCCCTTGTCCCTGAGAGTAGTTAGACCCTGACAAGTAACTCAGACTCTTACCCACTTTTAAGAGGGGGTAAGTTCTGTTTCCATGAATTTTCTAAGTACCTTCCCCAGAGAAATGCTCAAATGAGGACATCTCTGTCAGATGAAATGCTGCAGCAGTTTAGTCTCCAGTAAGTTTTATGTTGATTCTGTTCTGCATTCCCATTTCATTTAGCCTGACTAAAATGCAAATAAAAACTTACAGTTTGAGCAGCAATAAGAATTAATGTACCAAGTAAGCCAGGATTTTTTTTCTCCTGGTACTTAAATTGTAAGTAACTTCACATCAGTAGAGTCATACTGACACAAAATCATTGAGTGAGAAGGATTTTGGTCAGAGATAAGACAAGACTGTATTTATTTACTGTTGTCTTTTTCAACTCTAAATACTTCTCAAAATCAGGTTACTAACTGATACATGTCTACCTACAAAGATAATTTAGAAGCTTTCATTTCGGTCTCAGTGCAGTAAATTCAAAGTAACTGCATCAACCTCGGTGTGATTCTATGTTTACATGACTATCTGAGAGTAGAATCAAATCCTTGACTTCAGTGTTCATTTGGATCTCTGTTTCTTTTGAAATTACCTTTTAGAGTTCAGTTCCTAACTGAAGAGCTTAAACTTGCATGCAGTAGATAGCATAAAACCATATAAATTGTATAAGAGAAAGTAAAGTTTTGACACATGTCAAGCTTTGAAACATCAAATTCACAACAACTGCAGTACAGCCTTTTATTAAATAAAAATGCCTCCTTTTGTATCCATCAGTGCAGGGCCTTTCTGTCAAGCTACTACAGAGATCACAACGTGGAACTGTCAAAACTTCTTCACAAATTGGGACAACCCCTGCCATCGTGGCTGAGACAGGAGCTGCAGAAAGTGAGATAGCATTGGAAAACAGCTGTTTGAAATCTCCCTTCCACACTTCAGTCATCATACCTAAACTCTCCAGCAGCTACCAGAAGGTCTTGTAAGATATACCTCTTCGAAAAAGTGTAAAAGATAGAAATTATTTCCATATGCTGGCATGTGGATTGTAAAAAATACATGCATTTCTTAGAGCTCTGATGGGCCAGATCTTTCTTACAAACATTTCTGGGCCTGTGGACTTGTGGACTACTGTGCACAAATGTGGAAGTTATTTACAGCTGGTAAAAGCGTCAGAAATACATGACCTGTCCAATTTCATGGTAAATATTTACATTTTTATATATCAGTTTAAAAGTATTGTGTCTCATGTAGGTTTTGTAGCCCATTGTTAGGCCGCTGACAGTTTTTCTTCCTATTTGATTATTGTGTTGCATAAGGTAAGAAAAGTTAATGTAGCACAAAATGCCAAGTGTACTTCTGCCTTTGGAATCAGCTTGGTAATAACCCAAAGTGTGTACAAACACAGGTGAGAAGTACAGTTTATGTGATATGTATGATTTAGCCGTGCACAGCAACTAAATACACAGAGCAAAATCTGGAAGCTGCTGGCAAAAGCAGTGTAGAGAAAACCAAACTCACACAAACAAAACTATCATAGGAACCTGTGATTATATCCTGTAACAGCAACCCCTTACAGTGTGGTAAGGACCTTTGTCCATAATTATGTCTGATCTTGTACTGACTGAAATGTTAGAATATAGCCATTATCTGAACAGAAATTAATTTGGACATGTGAAGCACAAAAATTGCAGTATAGTCCTCATGAACAGTATTAGACTTAAACAATTGTGACTCAAACTGGAGCAGTGGAAGAAACTCCTGGTTCTGTGAGCAGCCAGATCCAGGCACTGCACTCACAGGCTTGCTGTGAATCAGGAGTATCTGCACTGAAACGGATGAAAAACTAAAAAAGAGCAGAAAGAGATCCATACTTTTATTACCTTAAGTTGCACTACTATTTTTTCTTTTATTTGCCTTTTTGCTTTCCAAGATCTTTCAACCTTATCAAAATTGTAGCACATTTCAGTAACTTTCTGTTTACATCAGCTGCAAAATTCTGTCAGATTTCGAGAAGAAAATACAGGTCCTGGTTCCAAACATCTTAAACATATTTGATATTAAAAATTGAGGAAGAAGATCAGTGACAACTTCAGCTGACTGTGACCTTAATGCTTCTGCAGTGAACTTTGGCTCCCAGTGTTTCTAAAGGCATGAAGGGGTAGTGAAAACAAAAGAGAACTGCAGTACTAAATGCTGTGTTTTATACAGTAGCTCTTACAATGTTTTCATACTTTGTTTTAGGGCGAATACTTAAAAACATGCATCAAATGGTGGAAAAACTTTCTGTGTCTCAGTGCTGTTTTACGACATTCCTGTAATCATATGATTTAACTTTCAAGGTAATGGAACGGAAACCAGTCTGTTATTCCCTAAATAGAAAACAGATGTTGAGATCCTTACTGTACCTCTAACTGGTAATCTTTATTTATTGATTTTGTCTATGTAATACGTGGTTTTGATAAGCCTGTAAAGAAAAAAATCTAGACAAATTTGCTGTATATACCAGTATTCTTTACACAGCACATTTTTGCTAAGGGAATATGCATGATTAATGATGAGGACCTGCTAGAGTAGAATTTTTTTAAGATGAACATCTTTATTATTTATTAGACAGAATGAGAATTTTCATTTCATTTTAAATATTCACTGTCGTGTGGATTTGTCTCAAAAGCTGACTTGTCTTAAAATACTTCTTATTTTGATAAAAGAAATACTCTGGATTTTGAACATCTGTAAAAGCAAGTACTCTGCGTGCTATGGACAGCTCATGCTTCCTGCAAGCATCTGTATAGATTTGTTACAACTAAATTGAATAACTGGAGAAAATACCCGGGGTTTTCATCCTGGCGTGATTGATTTTACCCTTGATGTAACCTGATGTAACATCACTCAAACATTTTTAAAAAAATCCACAGGGATTGCACAAAGCTCCTGTTGTGCACTGCTGCCTCAGTTACTCCACGTTCTTCAGTGGAACAATTAGAAAATAGAAGAAAATGGGAAAAACCTTGGGCACCTATCAAGTGCCTGATATTTTCAGGGTGAGAGAACCGTCTGCACAGAGATTTGAGTGCCTCCTCCGTGCAGGAGGAATGGCCTTCAGCCACATTCATACGTTCATTGTTTTAAAGAATTCCCTCTCTGTCTTCCTTCTCTGGGAGAAGAATGGGAACGAGTGGGCAGCCAAGGCCAGAGCAGTGCTGGGGACATGCACATTGGTCACATTGTCCCCTGGGAAGTTGTACAGCCCAACGGTGGTCACCATGAGGCACTGGCATAACAAGTCCTCCACATGCATGACCTTAGCCTTGGATAGATTCTCGCCTTTTTGTAAAAGATATGAAGCCACATCTGTTTTCTCCAGAGCTATTCTACTTAAATGTGTTCTTACATTTAACAGGAGCCTTTAAAAAACAAGAGTGACTTTTAACATGCAGTCAGCTTGATGAAGGATGAGGAGGCTGAGCACAGCATGCAGGCAGCAGCTAGATGAGTTATTTCCCGTGTCATAGGATGGACATGAGTACAGCAGAGTAAGCAAGTCATACCACATGAGTTATCTGGCAAAGTTTAACCTCTCTCTTCACAGCTTACCTACAACCAGTGTTTGGTTTCCAGAAATAGACTATCAGTATTAATACTCTTAAAAAAAAATACTGATTTCTTACAATGAGTTTCTGTTTGCGAGTCAAAGTCGGATGTTTGATTGTGGCTGGTAACACAGCCATGGTTTCTGTTCCCCTGGTAGGTAACTGCACAAGCAATTTCTTTGACAACTGCGTGATTATTTGAGCCTCGCCTTTGTTTTCCGAAATCAGATTCTGAAATTTGCTTTCTGCAGACCTCTGTGCCATTAAAAACCAGTGTGTGGTTATGAGCAGAAAGTGACCACTTGGGGGGGTGTAAACACAGAGCCTGATACTCAATTACCTAATTATTTGAGCAAACATTCCTGAAAATACTGTGATATTTTCCCAGTTCTACTTGTGCAGAAAGAATTAGTTTGAATGATTTGCAGACTATCTTGTACAGAATATCCTTTTTCATTGCTTAAAAATGTGAAACTTCCTCAGGAAGAAATTAAATAGATATTTCGATGTTTATAGATGTAATACTCTTGTCATTCACATTGAATGAATATTGCTGGAAACATTTTTCTCAGAGTTTTTTTAAATAAAAAAAAATAGATATTATTCTGATAGTGGCATGGTATTTGAAGTGCAACAATAAACTCTGATAAGAAAATGTAGTGCTGCGTGGAAGTGCCTTTCATGTTCACAGAAGTTGTCCTTTTCCAGGTCGGTTATCAGCTATTGCAGCTTGACACTGAGCTACAACACAATCCAGCAGCACAGGAGCAGCATGAAATGTTTTCAGAAAGGAAAAATGTTGCTTACTCTTGCTGTGAGTGAATATTGCTGCTTTATGCAGCTGCTCGTTTTACTGCTTTTGCTTCCTGCTTACTTTTTATTTCTTGCGCCAGAAATCGCTAATGTGCTGGAGAAACGTCTCCAGAGTTGGCTGTTTGTAAGATAACAACCAGAATTTATTCAAATTACTTGCCTTAGGGATTCAGTGGTTGTGCCAATGCATCAGCCTACACAGACATGAGAAAACCCTTCTTAGGAGAAACCTGTAAAATATGGTATGAATGTCTAAAGGAAAATTCAGTACGTTATCAATACATTCAGAATAGAAAACTGTACTTATCTAGCTGGGCAAAAGCTGCTTAATATCTTCATAGGAGTGTGGAAAATAGGAAACCTACGTTAACAAAATACTCCATTCACTACAGAGATAAGATGCAACCTATAATTAAGTAGTCTAAGCTTTTTGTATAATACCCATCTCCATAATCTATTAAGAATAACAGAAATGAAGTGATAAAGTAATAAGACGTAGTAAGCAAAGGGAAGAGATCCTTGCTGCAAATAATACCTGCTTGGCCTCTCTCTCCAATTTATCTGCTTTCATTTAATATTTCTTTTTAGTTCTTCAAGTCTCCAAATTCTTAGAGCTCAAAGGCAAAAGACACCATTTTTTTTTGTCTTGTGTACCACATGGATGAAGACAGCACAAGTCAGCATGAAAGGATAATTCCCAGGAACAGGAGGGCAATCAACAGCTGAAACCAAGGACTAGGGAAACCTGAATGGAGGAGGAGGAGTTTAAGACAAAGTAAGAGTGATAATTTCAAAAACATACATTGAGCTTGTGTCCTCACTAGGCTGAGGATGACAAATAATAGTTAAATAAGATGCTGTGCTCTGAAGGGTACAGTTTATTAGGGAGAGTTAGACTTGTCATTAGGAAGTGTTTGTTTATAGAAGGTGACCAGACTCTAAACAGGCTCCCTGGAGAGGTGGTTTATGCCCCAGGCCTGTCAGTGTTTGAGAGGCATCTGGAAAATGCCCCACAACAGGCTTTAATTTTGGGTCAGCCCTGAGGTGGTTGGGCAGTTGGTCCCTGCCAACTGAAATGGTCTGGTCACTACTATTGTATTCCACCCTGTACTAATTAAAATTGAGGGTGTGGGAATTTGGCCAGCATTAACCTGCAAATTAAGCGTTTGCTTATATGGACTGGAAGAGGTGTTCACCTAAAGGGATGGCTTCATTTTTCTAGCACAGCTTTCACAGCCTCTTCTTTCTTCTTAGTCCATGGTTATCAAATAACAAGCAGGGATCGTTTTAGCGTTTATGGCTGGACCAAGCGCAAATACACATAGACACGTGTATCCACAGAGGTGAAGCAGCACCGATGTCTCGGCCAGCTGAAGGGCTCTGCTTTGCTTTGGAGTACCCGCGGCCTTTTTTCCGTGGATCCCTTAGTCCGTTTGCCCCCGAGGGTGCTACTCGGTATCTTCAGAAAGCCCCGGGAAGGGGTTGGTTCCCTTTACATTTCGCGCCTTGCCCCCGCCCCTGGGTTGCCGCCCAGCGCGCCCCGAGGCCACGCCCACCGGCCTGGCCCGCCCACGTCTCTCCGCCCGTAGAGCCCGCCGTGCCCCGTTTTCCGCCGCCGGCGCGCGAGGGTCGTTCGCCGGTAGGCGAGGGGGGTGTCCGCCCCGGCTGGCGCGCGGGGCCAGGCCGTTGGCCGGTCGAGGGGCGGCGCGCTGGGGCGCAGGAAGCGAAAGAGGGCCGGGCTCTAGAGAGGCGTTGATGGTTGGAGCTGAAGCCGGCGGTGCTGGTGCTCGCAGACCGGGCGCGCTCTCCTCCACAGCGGAGCCGCCGCGGCAGAGGAGCGGAGAGAAGCGGGGCGAGCAGCAGGTGGGCTCCGTGACGAGAAGGGCGGCCGGGTGGAAGCCGTGAGGCGGCGCGGGGCCGGGGCTCGCATGAGGGAGGAAGGGAGGGAAAATGGCGGCTGCCACGTGGCGGGCGTGGGGAGCGGTGATCCATGACTCCATGGGGGCTGCCGCCTGTGGCTGACTCCCTTCCTAGGCATGGAAGAGCAGAGCCTTGCGGATTGGCACAACTTGTACCTTCTTGTGGGTATGAGTCGTTGACTGTAGCAAGTAACAAACCGAGTCTGCCGTGGGACTGGCCGTCTCCCCCTATTGTGTTTTCTGGTTGTTTGGTTTTCAGTTTTCACCTTTTTTGTCCCCGGTAAGCGATTACAGCCCAGTTTTTAAGCTTTTTTTTATTTTATTTTACAGGAGCGCAGAAGCTGAAAATCTGGAGACTTATCTGATCTTGAAGATCCTTCCCCAAAAAGTATGTGACTGGGTGTATAGTAGGTAATAAGATCTTCAGGAGTGAGATTTTTATCGGGAAAAATAACGATTTGATAATTTATGTTTAGTGATTAATCTGCTGCGACGTGTTCTCTGAAATAGGTATAGGTTTGGTGTTTTATTTTAAGCCATGCTTCATTTTAACACTCGAGTGCATTACTGCAAGGAATGGGAGGAATGGGGTTTGGGTGTAGATGCATCAGAAAAAATCCACTATTCCTAGCATAAAAGTCACGTTGTCAGTACTCGTTTGCCAAACTAGAGGTATCCGAATCCACAGATTTCTCGGGGGTATTCTGTGCAAGGGGAATGTCTTTTTCAATAAGCACATGAGTTCTAAGCAGAATCTGCAGTTACAGGAGCAGAGGGAAACACGAGGTGGATACTAAAAGCATTGTTTCAGCGCATCCTGCTGTTCGGTGATGTCTGTTTGCTGTCTTGTATATTTTCCCGGTAGCAATATTAAACTACCTCAAACTTGTTTTTACAGGGGAAAAACACTCTTGAGTTGTGATGACAGAAGAAGATGGGGGTAAATTCCACATGTGAATTCTAGGAGTAACTGTGACTAAAATTTTAATTTTTACTGGGAGGGGGGTGGATCTGTTTCATTTTGATGCCTTTGTGAGTGGTAATATTTCTTGTTATCAAGCAGAGCTAGAAAAGGCTAATTTTAGGCTAGATCTTAATCCTGATTTTTAAATAAAGTTAAGATTTAGAGCTTTAAGAGAGATTTTGCAGTTCTTCTCATCATTGCAAAGAGGGGCTGGAACACAGCTTACTGTACCTAAAATTAGCCTGCCTGCTTCTATACAAGTACAGTTGGGATGAGTAGCCCATTTTGTGCAGCTTTCAGGGGTGTGCTGCTCCTCTTTGGGCTGTCACTAAGTGTTGAGCAATTACAGTAATGGGTTTGGTAGTTCAGTGGCCGTGCTGCACTGTCCTGTGGCCAACCACACTGCAGGAGTATTAAATGCAGTGACACGTGCACCTTCAGTGGCGGCTCCTCTGCTGCTGAAGTATGTTAGAAAGGTGGTTGCAAAGAGTGTCCGTGTACTGCAGAAGCTGAAGGTAAGTTTTTGAAGTCTAGAAAGTTAATGTGGAAACTTACAGTCATGATTTTGGTATCTATGCCAATATAAAGCGTTCAAATGTATGAATAAATCAATAAAGAGACTTTGGCTGCAGGTGTGGTTTCTTTCTTTCTGCTGGTAACCAAGATTAGACCTGTGCACATTCATTGGAATGAGTTACACTTGCCAAATCTGCCTGTTCTGGGGATACACCTTTTGGCAGAATCCGTGGTTTCGGGTGGTGGATGCATTGTGTGGGAACCATTCCAGGAGGGGTATGACTTTGATCAGAGGTTGCTGCTTCAGGGCAGTAACAGTGACTTTGAATATAGCTGCTTTTTCAGCTGCAGTTCCTGGGGGCTCCATATTCACAGAAACAGATGGAGCTCCAGTAGATGGTGAGTCACTGCAAAATCAGAACATTTTACTTACAGTTTTAGCTAACACCACCTGTGCTGACACAGTCTCCTATAGAATATTTTCCAGTTAATAAGGAAAGTTTTTTGCTAATTGTTCCAAATGGGAGGTTTAGGGTAAGGGGGCTTTGAATGGGTTGGGAAACAAAGTCTATGGAGCTAGAACTGAGATCATCAGCAGGCAGTGTGATTACTGCTAAGTGTTTGGCAACTGAGGTGGGAATTCCTATTGGGAGTGGATGGAGTGGAAGTGTGGACTCTTAGTTACAACATGGATTAGACTGTGGAAATTACTTCTAGTGGTAGTGTTATGTTTTGGTAGGGAGATCAAGGAACTGTCATAGGAAACATCATCTTATTTTTCAAGCATATACTTTTGCTGCCACAGTGGAAGTACAGCTGAGTGGATATTCTCTGTGAACTTACAGTAAGTGATACCACACCTGTTGAACTGGTGGTGTGTGATTACTCTCTCCTTTTAAACAGGTCTGTCATATGACATCCTTACTGCTTGGCATTCCGAGGTCGTGGCTGCCAAGCCTGGAAGGCAACAATCCTGAGTGTGTACTTTTGAGTTTCCTTTTCTCTAAGAGGACTTGGCTTGTGTAATAACCTTAGTTCTTCCAGAAAACAACATCTTTTCTTACCTTCCCCTAGCAGATGCTAGACAGACTAGCCAGGAGAAGTCTGGGGCTGTCCCAGAACAAGGCGTGGGCAGGAAAGTGCTGCTCTTGTGGCAAGCACACTGATGCAAAGTGGCTTCCTTAATTTTTTAGTGGTTTTTTTTTTTGTGCCTGGCTGTGGCTCTATGAAGAAAGCCAGGTGTAGGTAAATGAATTGGAAGCAGCAGGAGTAGGGCTGGAGATTGGTTTCTCCAGGGATCTTCTTGAGTATAAATACTATAGCACAAAAAGGCATGAAATAGTTGCAGTAGCATTGAAAATTGAGAATATTGAGGACTGACCTTTTGTTCTATACAAGCTGTTACAGTGCTGTATTTCTGGAATTAAGGTAGCTAAGGTTCTAGATGTTCTGCATGTAGTTGTAAAATGGGATCTTGGTTTATCTGTGGTTTACAGGTAAGTGCCCTTTTTGGGAAGTTTTTTGGGGTCAGGATCAATTTAATAGATTTTGTGTGTCAGTTGCAGTGATGCTTCTGCTCTTGTATATTCTCTGTAAAATGAACAAAAACTCGGGAAGCTGAGGGGGGCTGCATCTAACTAAGTCTTTACAGTGTTGAGGAGCCTGAATAGATTACAGACTGGTGTTCAGGATGGTCACTGGTAGTAGAAGTGCCAAGTGCCAATAGTTTATGCCACTGTTAACACTGTGGCCAACCTGCTTAATAGAAAAAAACCTTAGCATAGGCTGAAAAGCAGGGGGTTTTATACAACCTCATTTATTAAAACATTGAATTGAGGGGAGAGCAGCAAGGGTCAAAACATTCTTAGGCAGTTTTCAGAGTATAGGATTAACTTATTTGTGACAGCCTGACTGGTGTGAGTTAACGCAGTGGGAAGGAATTCTGTCATACAAGACAAACTTCCCTTTTTGAGGAAATAGCCCTAAGCTTATAAAATAGTTTCAAGAGCACCCTTTCTCGTTTAATAAAGCTCACGTGAAGTTTACCCAGCTGATGTTCCTGCAGCACCTGCTTGTACATCCACAGTATTAATGTACAGAAGTTGTAGTCAGTGTGGCAGTTTTTATTGTTTACATGTACATCATCAGGCTCACTGAACAAAAATGAGAATGGCATAACACGGAGACAATTTCATTTTATGTTAGAAACTGGAAAGGCATGCTCAGCATAGAAACAGTAGTGCAACATTTTAAAATCTAATAAAGCATCCTATTAAAAGAGCAGTACTAGCAAACTACTGTACTAAATCTGTTTACTACACTTAGTATGCAGGCTTAATCCCACCCCCAAGTATCATATTTCAGCTTCTAAAAAAGATTATTTCCCCTGTACACAATGCATATATTGCACTATATAGACTACTTCACCATAAGTCTCAATGGTCTTGTATAGCAAAGCTTGGATGGTACAAGTGGATACATTTTGACAGACGTACTTCCCTTGTAATCAAACGGGCTATATATAAGTAAAAATGTAATGGTTTCAATGTTCATTAGCACAGTCTTTCATATTGGTCTAACAGCAGGTGGTCACAGTACCGTGATTTTTGACATCTTTTTAAATAATATACTTCACACGATTTCAAATAGCATGGAATTACAGAGAACTAAAATATATTAAAGCACCCCATGTACTAGTTTAGCACCATTTTTCCAATAAGATATTTAAATTAGTCATGAACCTTGAAAACTTATGTGTGAGGTCAGCGAGAAATTAAGAGCCAAGTTTTCAATCACAGGGGCTTCTGCAATATCAATGCCCCTTTGTATGCAATTGAGTTGTGGGTATTTGTTATAACACCAGAGAGACACAGAACCATACAGAAATGAATGATTGCCCACTTAGAGCATGAATGCAAGCATCCCACTTTTTCACAAGACACCACACAACATGTCATAGCCAGAGTGTTTGGGGAATAGGGAACAGGGAAACAGTCACTGCTAGTCACAGTTTGCACAATCACTATGTGGTGACACATCTGCCACACTTGTCACGCTGGAGTGTTTCACGGCCCACAGAGCTTTTCAGTTCATCTTTCTATGAGCGTGTTTGTTAATGGAATATGCAGAGCACACTTGTGATGGTCAGAATGGCCTTTGACAGGGATTGTGGAGATGGTGCTGAGCTGTCCTGGCTGCCTCTCAACTGCAGTCACAGGCTGATCCTGTTAGTGTTGCACTGAGATGATGATAACCTGCTGTGTTCTGTGTTCTAGGTTCAGTGGGGTGGCCCTTTCTAGAAGGACAGTAAGCTGGTTATCGGTGCATTTTTATAATAAGTTGTCCAAGTTTTCACAGCATACGGAACAGTATTTGGAAAAAGAGATTAAATGGAATCAAGATGTGTCAGTACTTTAGAAGTCAGTGAAAACTCAGCTTTCCTGTAAAGATCAACCTGAACCAGTGCTGCAACTAAGAGAGAGCTGTCTAAATATTACCTTGTAGAAAACAGGAGTTTAAGACTATAGACCTTGTCAGACAGGTTTGGCTCAACATCTCCATTGAATGTATTTATAACTCTCTCTTGTAGGATTGACAGAGGTTCTTTGCACTACTTAAAGTAAAGCCCAGCAATGAGAAGAGCAGGATATTTTTTAGTCTAACGTTGTGGTAAACAGGATAAGTAAATCCTCTCCAAAATGCTGTATTTACTCAAAATTACAAATTTCAGAAATCAGACAAATGTTACTTATCTAGAGGAAGGAAAATAAGTGTTCATTTGTTTTTGATTTAGCTCTTGTAGCTGTGCAGGATGTTTGTGAGGAAACAGTCAAGTGTACTACCTGTTTCACTTGGGAATGTACTTTATGCACACTAAACTGTGAGAAAAATTATCAGAATAGCTGGAGATCTGATTATTGGCAATTATTTTCCTTCTAACATTTAATACATACTCAGAATTACTTGCAAGAATCAATCTGCTAATGATCTCATTAGCTGCTGAAACATGAGTCAAATTTAGAGGACTGAGTGTAAGATCATAGGGATAATAGGCAGACAGTCAAGAAATGATTAAATAAACTAGACTGAAGATTAATTGAGATCTGTAATTAATTCTAGAGAAGCTTGGAGCATAAATAGCTTGGAGCTACTGCAGTCTTCCCTGGACAGTGAGTCTCCCGTGAACTCTCCAGCTGTCCTGCTCCAGTGTTACTCTCAGCTGGCTATCACTTTCCCCTTAGATACATGTAACTCATTCCTGCAATATATAAACTTCCTTACCACACAGGACAGTAATCCCTAACTGGAAAGGTTGTGTGTATACAGCTTGGATTTAACAAAAAGGAAAACACACGTATCAGGAAAATGTGTCTGTTTCCACCCACTGTGGGCCCCAGCTGTGCACTGTCTGTGCCGTTCAGCTTGTCCTGCTTCAAAGTTTGGGTTTCATTCCAGACATTCATAGTTTGGTCACACTTTTTATCCAGGGCACAAAAGAGGATACTTTTGTGTAGACACCTGGGGAATCTTTGACCCCACAGCCGTAGCCCCAGGAGGTCACACCATACACAACCCAGCTTTCCCCTGGACGTTCACACATCAGTGGTCCACCACTGTCTCCCTGACAGCTGTCAACACGTTTCTGTTCCTGGACATTTCCAGCACAGAGCATTCTTCCCGTGAATCTTCTTTTGTAGCGCTCTTCACATACCCTCTTGGGAAGTAAGGGGATGGCAGCCTGTTGTAGTGTTCTTGAATAAGCCCGTCCTAAAAAGAAGACCCAAATTATTTTCTCATTACAGTGGTTAGTCTTGGAAACATAAATGGGATTTAATCCAATTTATGTTCTCAGTCTTCACACTGTCTTGTCTTTAAATAGCATGACTTGAAGCAAGACTACTGAAAAAAATCTACTGTGCATTAAATATAGTACTAAAATATATATTGTACATGTGAAATATAGATGCTTAAAAAAAAAAAGTAGCTTGTGTTCTCTGGATCTTTCCAAGGCTGGAGTTTGGTTTGTTCCAAGCACTTTGTGTCTTCTACAAGAGTATATACTTCAATACTTACATGGGGAAGCAATTTTTGGGAGTCTTGAGCAGTGGAGGGTAAAGTCATAGAAATACCTAATTTCTGGGTCACCAGTTCAAATCCAATCTAGCCCAGCCTGATAGGTGCTGTATCTTCTGCTGGCTTCCAAGTTGAGCGTCCAAATTTGGATCTTTGTACTTCTTTTCTATAGCTTGCACCTCTTTTTCAGGTGGAAGCATGAAAAATGAAAACCAGTGTTGGTTTGGCCTTTTTAAAGTAAAATCTTAATAGTTGTAAAGTAATTATGATTCACACAGTAAGTGTGAAATGTCAGCTGAGGTACTGGATGATGTAATTTCTTACCATAATTGAAACCAATTATTGCTGTGGTTAATGTTTCCTGAAATAGATGTCCTAAATTAACAATATTGTAGGACTTCCAGTGAATTTATGTAGGAAGGCTAGACAGAGCTAGGCAATGAATTAACAATTGTTTGTAGCAAAAAAAGCCACCCTCCAAGTCTCTCTCCTTTACTGTAGTACAGTGACCCAGACATCTGTGCACGCAGATTAGTGCATGTGAAGAGGAGGAACTGATACTTGGCCTTGTCTCCTTGCCAGTTTGAATGAGTCACTGGAACAAAGGCTCAAGTGTGGTTGCTGACTTGCACTGCATTCAGCACCATAAAAACATAAAAGTAAAACATGGTTATCAATTAGTAATACATTTAAAGGACACAGACCTTTGAAGAGGAAGAATCTTGTACTGACCGAAAAAGTGACTAGAAGCCTGCAATGCAGACTGCACTGTGGCTCTCAGAAATTTTGGCAAGATGTTCTCTTAAATCAAACTGCTGGTTGAAAGTGTCAGTGGCAACAAGGGAGACTAAAATGTCACTTGAAATTCTATTTCATCTATATTTTCTGTCCCTTTTTCTATTGAAGCAGTGTAACTTAAATAACCTTTCCAAAATTAAAACATGCATGGTCCTTACCTTTAAAACCCTAACTGTGTTGGAGCTGTTAGTTCTGTACTGAGGCAGGGAGTGATACTCTGCTGCACAGGGTGCGCCTGGCGACAAATAAGCTTTTTATTTGGGCTTGTCAGTCTAAATGAGGCCGTTTTACTGACAGGGTCTCTGATTTAGAGTGACATGGTTAATGGCTGCTTTTCAAACACAAACTAAATTCAGTCAATAAAATGTTGTCATTCCTGGTTAAGGATCAGGAGAGAAAGTATTCCCCTATGCAAAAACAGTGCAATTGTTTGATTTTGAGCATTTTCTTATTTTAAGTCTCTGAGATTTATTTTTTTTTAAAGCAGCCTCAGATAGCATGATTGGCACATGGAAATCATTAAAACATTTTTACCTGTGTCCCCCCATCCAGTGATATAACAGTTGGGAGCAGTTTTCTGTGGTCTCTCTCTCCTTAATGGCAAACAGGCAGGTAAGACGTGGGTGCTGAACCTGGCACACTGTTCCTCTGGGCCCTGTAGCCTCACCAAGGCAATGTCGTAGTCGCTGCTGTCAGGCCTGTACTCTTTATGCATCACAATCTGTTGCACTCCAATTTCTTCCTCGTACTCCTCTGGTACCAGGGTGTGATAGTCTCCGACTCGCACAGCGTAATTCCGAGTGTTGTTGCCATACCTGAGATTGAGGTGAAAACAAATAGGTCTGGCTCATGCAAAGTCAGGTCCTAAGCAGGCAAACAGATTTCATCAGGGCCTCTATTATTCATATAAGTAATGATACCAAGAGATGTTTTTAAAGAGCAAAAATGCTCTCTGAGGTGTTTGGATTGACATTCAAGTACAAATACAAATACAAAAATCTTCTGAATTTTCAGATTGGGCTCTGTTCCTTTTTGTATATTTTCACAGGCAAGTTTCTTATGACCATCTGCCATGACTGACACTGATTTCAAAGGTGCAAGGTGTGCATTATAAATGTATTTAGATAGGGTAACACGAACTGCCAGTAATTACAATGAAAAACTGAGTGCTAACATCATTGTGATGGTCCAAATAATTATTGAAGTGAAAACAATGTTCAGGCCTGCTTTGTAGGTTGGTTGAGAAATTCTGGAGGCTTAGATAACTTGATAAAAACCTCTTACATCAACTGAAATTATAGTAAGGAAGACAAAGCATATATGCATCACAACACCTATTGTCAAAGTGACAGAAGGCCTGTAAACCTTAGACTTGTTTTTCATTTCATATGATCCCAGTTTCTTTCACATTATAGACTAAATGGTAAATGCATTAGAAATTATTACTGTGCATGCCTTTGGAGATTTTTGTGTTACACAACACACAGCCCTTGGTAAAATTCAAACAAGGGAGTACTGTTGGGTACATGTATTTATTTTAAAATCTGGCTAAGCTAACAGAAGTATTTTTCCTTTGAATTATCCTGAATAGCCTTCAACAGGAAATTTCTAATACTTTTGCAGAAAATACCCCACAGTGTTCCATCACCTTCTAACCTGTACCTGTTCGTTTTATACCCTCCAGCAATGTGCTGGTCTCCATAGCTTGCTAAAGCTTGCTTGAGGAGCAGCAGACAAAGCAGGAACATTACAGTTCACTGCACAATATATAGCTGTACCACTGAATATTTCTTCTAGTTGTGGGTTGCATTCCTGGTTGACTGAAAAGCTTGCTTTGTCTATTCTGCAGATCTTCAGGTCTTCCATGAGCAACATTTCACTTGTAGGCTTCTAAGGAGAGAGCTGTAGGCTGTGAACAAACATCTGTTCATCTGAACATGAACTTCTATACAGGATAAATGAAGGGGTTTTTTTCTATGCCTCATATTTATAATTATCCAAAGTAATATTTTTTTAATGTATAGACCTTCAAATTCCCCATGGGTGTCAGAATCACTCTGAACAAAACTTATAATAAGATGAGTGAGTTATAAAATGAAAAATAGCTTCAAACCACTTTTGATCTTAAATTATGTCTGTGAAATTACAGAAACCACTATACTACTTGTGAACAATTCTGTGTTTAATTTTTATGCCTAGTACAGATGAGCCCCCTTTGGTTACCTAAGCAGTGTTCCAATTTCCGGGATGTGAGAAATGGTATACTGGCCTTTCTCTTGTCTGCCTGCGGAAAATATGTGAAGAAGGCGCTTGATCTATAGATAGCTCTTGGAAACCTATCCCCTTAAAATCACTCTGAGCTCATTGGGAAGTTAAGCCCTGGCTGTTCAATGACAGCTCAGAGCTAAAGGCTCCTTCTCTCTTTTACAGTGAACAGTAGTGCATCCACAGGCTGTTGGAGCTGCAAGCTTAGGGCTAATTGCAGTTTTAATGCAGCATATGGGGCCAAACAATACTTTGGTCACTGAGGCCACGTGTAACAGTTTTAGGGTAGCCTGTAGCAGACCCTTGAGTGGCTGTGCCCATCTGGAAGTATCCCAGTGTATTTTGCTCCAGTCATGCTGTTGTCCCATGATGTGGATGTGTTCAGCAAAGTATCCAAAATGGGCATTCCTTGGCAGCACATTCCGTTTTCAAGCCTCTAATCAAAGGCTTTTTCAAAAGCTTTCGTGTCATCCTTGGTAATCACTAGGGAGATGATGAACAGGACCATAGGAGGCCATTGTCTCTGAATTTTCATGAAAGGAACTGAAACGCTTTCATAGTTCCACAGAAACAACTGGAACATCAGTTGGAAGTAGCAGAAATGTTACTGAGCTTGACCATTTCAGCTTGAAATATTACCAGGAAAAGTCCTTCATGATTTCAGGGAACACAAAAATGAAAAGATGTGCATCTGGTGCTGGGCAAAGGTAACATTCTGCATTCGAGTAAAAGTATATCTGACTCTTCATTTGAGTTACTAGAGAGTGAAAGGAAATACTCAAAGTCCAAATTTAAAACATTTGCAGCCCACTTGAGCAAAATCAAGCAAATACCCTCAAAATTGCAGTGCTGTTCTATGCTTGCTTTCTAACCCATTCCAGTGAAATAATCACTGTTGAAAGCTTACAATACTAGACCAGCTTCCTTCTTGTGCAAGTTGATGCTTTTATACTTCAGCAACTTCATCAGCAATGAACTCCTGCTGTGTTACAGTAAAAATGTCTATCACTGCCAATATCTGTCATTACCAAAATTAATCTGAAATACTACAGTCCCTGTGTTTGGTGTTTTCTCTGTTGTCTACACTATAACCTGAAAGCCACAAGCTGCGGTTTTGTTGGAACAGAAGGTTAAAATGTCAGAAGTGTTAACATTTTTTCATGAAAATGCTGAAGTCGTGAATATAAATCACACGAGTGATAACACCCAGAATAATTCCAATGTAGTAGGGTGTTTTGTTTGGTTTTGTATTGAGGGAAGGGAGGTTGGTTGGTAGGTTTTTTAAAACCAAAAGGCCAACCCTTGGAACAGTTTTCTGTGGGCTGGAACTGGAATGCTTTTGCCTATACCCAGAACAACTGCACTGTTGCAGGGAGACCCACCTTTTGAAGCAGTGTGCAGCAGTGAGCACCCAGCAGCTGCTGATCAGAGTAGCCCCACACAGGAGTCTCCCATCACCGTGAGAGGATTTCAGTCGCAGTGCCACCTGCCACGGCCAGCCGCCCCTGCAGAGGGGGAGAGACACGGTGTTCAGGGCACAGCACTGGGATTAACCTTGAATCCAGAGCCTGGTTACTTTCTTTGACTGGCATGTCTTGCAAACAGTGGTGTTTCTTAACAGTGGAGAATATCTTTATATTCCTGCAGCAGTCAGAATTCCATTTAACAATGGTCCGGATTACTTTACAGATCATTTGGGCATCCAGCACTCTGAGTGCTTCCTCCCACGCTCAGTTATTTGAATTTTCCCTTCTCAGATTGCATTCATTCTGCCAAAAATACATTCTACGGGTTCCTCGCCAAATACCATCCAAGTCAACAAACCAGAAATTTCCTGTCAACTGCAGAGGGGAAAGAGGGGAATTTCTTGAAAAGCTGAACCCAGCATCCGTTCCTGTCTGTGTGAAAAAGGAAGCTGGCAAACTAAGAGGTCTAAAGCAACTGCAGAAACCTCAAGTAGTAGATTAGCACCTTTTTTCAGCCTGTGATAATCTTGTTTTATGTAGTAGATCTGCCATATTTTCAGGCATGTGAAACCAGGGTGGCTGCTTCTTTGCTTGTTTAATAGATTAGCAGTCAGGGAAGGGAGTGGGAGAGAGATGCACCTGTAAGCAGCAGCAGCATCCAAGAGTAAGCAACAGGTAGTCTTAGGTGTTTTTTGACTCCTGTCAGCTTGAACAGGTATGCTGGATGGCAAGAGCTGCCAGGGACCATCTAGTCCATCATCCTATCTGGGAATTGCAAGTGCCAAATGTTTTAAAGTAAGGTGGAGGAATTTGCTTCCCATAAAGAATAAAACAATTTAGACGTTTTTTATTTTTGGAAGATTGGATTTAATAGGTTTTTCTTAAATGGGGTATCCAGTTCCTTTTCAAACTTGCTTCAATTTCTTTGTCTTAATGACTTCTTGTGACAATGAGTTCTTTTCTGATACTGTTTGGACGTTCCTTTTCTTGACTTTGAAGCATTTCTAAGTGCACTACTGGATTTCTGTCACATTTTTGCTACATCTAACATCCCTGTACTGATTTATTGTGAGATCAGCTTGCTTGTCCTGACTGAATGGTGCAGTACATTATTTGTCACCATTTTGTTTCATCCACTGTCCTTAGTGCACATATTCTGAGATAAGAATTCTCAATCTTTTTCTCTTACCCTCATTTGTCTCTTTACTAAGGTAAGTCATCCTACTTTGCTCTGTCTGAATGCATTTAAATATTTTTCTGGGCTCCCTATTGCTACTGTCCTTTGAAGCTCCTCCACTTAGGAAGTGTCTTTTTTGAAAGAGATTAATTGGTGCTGTGCATGTCCTTTGAATTAGGTTGTACAGTGAGATGTAATGACACTATAAGTGGATTTTTTGCAATGCCTTTTGTGATATTGTATGAATATGTATTTTTTGAGGTTACTCACAACTGTTAAGAAAATAAAGCCTGTACTTCCTGGGTTTATAGCTATGTCATCATCAAGGCTTATTTTGTAGAGGAAAATCAAGTCTTAGCAGTGAATCATACCCAAGCCTTTTTTTCAGTGTAAAACCTTGTACTATATTCATAGCTCTCTTTGTATAGCTCACATCCTTTTACTTGATAAATGTAAAGTAATTATTTTTAAGTTAAAAATATAACCCATTCAAGGACTAAACCCATAAGCATCTACAGATTTTCAAATAATGCTGCAAGTATCTATCAATAAATACTTTTTAATTTCATGCCAAATTTGCTTTGAGTATATTTCTGCTTCTACCTCATGACAAGCCAAAAGAAAAGAAAGCAAACCTACAATAAAGTTGTAAATTAGGCAAACCACTTATGGTAAAATGCATGTCTTAGAAGATTTATATTCAAAATTACTTGTCTTTACCAGTTATTTACCGTAAAGAATTTTTCCCACCAATTATTCGCTTTTGTCGGCGATGTAGTAACCTCAGTCCACAAACAGAGGCAAGAGAATCTAAACCAGAAAGGGTATAGAGAGCATTAAACTCAGCATGAAAAGTAGCCAATCTTCAGTGAGAGTTAACTAAAAAAAACAAAACCCCAAACACAAAGGCTGAACTTATTCTGTGTTTCATGGTAGTTTTTAAATACCACATTTTGCTTGAGGAAAATACACTGAAAAAGTCTTTTTAGCTCCAATCTTTTGACTGTGTTCATTTACACATTTGTTTCTCAAGTGCAGGATTTTATAGTGTTTTTCCTTACTTCCTGTTAGCGGAAGCAGAGCCTGGCCTACCTCACAGGATTCCCACCCTTTCGTTTCTGGAATTCTTTCAGATAGAACTGTTTCCTCCGAGAGGTGGGATTGTGTAGTCGGTCTCTTCCTACCCTGACAGTTCCCCACCCAGCCTTGGGCTGCCCCTCCCAGCAGGGCTTCACCTTTATTGCTGTTGCCAGGGGCCTTCTTGCTGAGGTGGTCACAGATCACACCCGCGTCCTCACTGTGCCGGCAGTTGTGCGTCCCAATGTCCTGCTTGATGCAGTCTGCCAGGGATCTCTCATTGCCTGTACACTTCACGTTATCCACATGGATGGGGCCTTTGCCCTCACCAAAATAGGCCATTGTCCTTGCTCTAGCTGCACCTCTGCAAACAGAGCATATTTTTTCTTATTAAGCATTTTGAGGCATTAGTCTGCATTTTATTCAAATGTTTCTGAGTGAGTAGCGAAAGGCATCGAGGTTTTATTCCAAGTCCTGTCACTGATTCACTTGTTAAAACCACCTTCTCATTGCCTCTGTTCTTCTGGTATGTAGGGGAAAAAATAACAAAATTGCTACAGTTCATTAATGTTTAAAAAGTGCTTTTATGTATCTAGTTAGAAGGCACTGTGCGAAGTATTTTACATTGTAACAGCATTACATTTTGCTATAAAGCAAAATATGTGAAAGCTGCTTTTTCATAATCTCTTTAATCCTCATATAAAATCAGCATCTGTGAATGCTAAAAATAATTTGTTCAGGTCTGATTCCCTCAGAAAGATGGGCCAGTTGGAAACAGTAGTGTACAGTAGCCAGTTGAATACAATAGTGCAGTGTGGTAGGAGCTACAATTTACAGATCTGTTAGTTGTTAATAGTTATCAATATATTTCATTATCATGTCATTTTTAAAGTGCACTCCACAGCTGAGTTCTAAAAATGTCATGTAGTTGGAGCAAGACTGAACCTAGTTCAGTATCGACACCCACCTTTTCCTGGGAGGAACCCAGTGCTTAGTGCTTGTGTGGCATTTAAGCATCCCATTTGGTAACTTTTGTGAAAGGTTATTACTGCTAAATGCTTAGGATAAAATGCATCTTAATTTATAAATTGATATTTTGTTATATGTGGTTTAAGAATCAGAAATAATTACAGGTGGGAAACCACCCAACCAGCTATATAGTGAAGTGGGGCAGGAGCCACAGCCACCTCTAGGTGTGCCTGAACTACAAGTTTACCTATCGGTTAAGAGCAATTTACTGATATTGTATTGGGATAACAATATATATGGAATTCCACAGGTTTCCATTTTAAGGGATAATCGTATATTGTAAAGGACTGCTTCTATGTATGCAGAAGGGTAACTGCAGGTATGATGAAATGCTGGAGCAGAGAAAGAATTTGACAATGAAAATGTATTACACCTCTTTTTACACCTCTTTAATACCTGCAGTGTTGGAGAAGATAAGTGAGAATGGCATAAAGGGTCTGTGTCCCTTCATTAGCTGGGGATTGTGTGTTGGGGAGGAATTCTGATTTGTCTTACCATTTTCAAGGCTTTGTCGTACAAGAAGTGTGGCTGGATCAAAACAAGTCCAGCTCTCCATTGCCACATCCAGATAAATGAAATATGAAATAGTAATACCTACAAGTAATACCTACAAGTAATACCTACAAGCTTCCTCCCTTTTCAAACTTGCACTTCAATAGCCTTGACTTTTTGAATTTTTTTCCTATGTACTGAAGGGTAGGTGGGCAGGATTTCTATTTAGGGAATGTTGGTTAGAATGCATGAATTGTAAAAAAAAAAAAAAAAACAACACAAAAAAACAGGAAAGAGAAGCATGTAAAAGATATGACAGACGATACCACAAGGTCAACTGTCCTTACACATTTTTAATTTCCATGCCTGGGATGTATTTACCAGATAATCCAAAGCCTTAACTGCCGTTGGAACCAGTATAGGACAGTCTTTGCCTAATGAGTTTAATATGATTTAACTTGTCACAAGCAAATGTTTTTCTTTTGTGAGTGACACTGATTACAGCTAACAACGAAAATAAAGTAAGTCCATCTCTCCGATACCTGTGGGCAGCTGATGTGTCCTTGTGTGCTATTACAAAATAGTGAGATAGAGCAGGCACTCGCTGTAAATTCTTGCCTGGTTTTGGTATCTCTGTGTCAAATAACAAAGTTTCTGCTTTAGGGCATTGCTCTGAAGTTCCTCAGGATATTGAAAACTACCTCATTGTGAATCTCCACAGTATTCTTAGCCTTTCCTTCAGAAGTATTTATTGCAGTTTAGTATAGAATTGTCTCTGCAGAATCTTACCAGTTGCTTAATAAGGGCACTACATCCTTCTTCCTAGCTTTATTTGAGAGCAGCCTATCTCTTACCGTGCATCAATAATCTCTCAGTTTGCTGATAATTCCCAGGGAAGGTATGTTCATACCCACTCAACCAAAACCAACCAGCCAACCAAAAACGCCACAAAAAACCCCAAACCAACCCCCGCTGTTTAAATAGAACATCTACCAGGAAACAAATGTACAAATCAGGATGTTCTAGAACAGGGAGTGCAGCTTAATAGAGAAAATGATATAATTGGGAGATCTCTAAAGGTACACGTGTTAAGTCAGTGTGTTTGTTAATGCACTGGAACGTGCTCTTACAGCTAGCTTTAGTCCACCCTTAACAAACACGTGTGTCCCTTCATTGCTGCTTTCCAAGCCAGCTGTTCATGCACTGCTGACCATCAGAGATACCTTTTGCCTGCTCAGATCTGTCCCTAGAGAGAAGAGTGGCTTCAGGTCTTACCTTCTCACTTTTCTCAGACACAAGGCCATGCACAATACCATGCTGAGCTCTTCACATGCAGTATTAACATCATTTATAATGTTGTTAATCAGGAAATCCAGTGAATTATTATAGATGGCCAACTATCATAGAAATTACAAGTTAAATAACTTGTACGAGAGATGACTTGTAAGTTGTTTTGTAGTTTTAAAGCCATAGTCTACTACTGCTTTCAAATACACTTCACTAAATGAATACCAGAGAGTTTTTAAAAGGCATATATAATGTGTTCAGATATAATTTGATGATACTCGGTTGCACCAGCTTCACATTGTTAGATACAGCAAAGAGTTAACACAATTTGTATCTCTTCAGCTCAGATTTCCTTAGGAATACACTCAGAGAAGACATTGCACTAATTTCCTGCTGTATTTCATTGGTGTTCTGGACGATTTTCAAGTCTCATTAATTCTGCTATTTATATATCTGCCCTATAGTTGTTATATTTTTACTGCTCTTGGGCATCCAGAAAAAAACTGCTGATGAGCGAATGTAAGCCTGATTGAGTGCTTTATTTCAAAAGTGACACCTACATAGCAGTGGTTTTAATTAGAGGGTGGGTTTGTCTGTCAGATCTATTCCTGTATTAAATGAAGCTTATTCAAATCACTGTCATGCAAGCCAAAGCCATAATCCTTTGTATAAACAGTTTTATCAAATCTCCAAGCTACATTAAGTCAGATCAGTAAATGAGGGGGAAAAACCCATGAAACTAGGAATTCAGTCACTGGTGTGCCTGGAATCTGCAGACATCATATTGACACCTTGTGACAGTGGACACTGACCTGTTGCTGTATTTCATTAAAAATGTTAACAGTTATGTTGGACACTATAAGGACTTCAAAGTCATCATTAAGGTTCACAAAAGATAAATATTAACAATATGCAGAGTAATACCTCTCAGTGAAAACAGATCAAGAGCTTTTTGAAACAAATGTGACAAATAAAAGTATTTATAGCTTAGTAATTTGGAATATTTAATATCCAACAAAAAATATTTAATAACTAGCATTTCTGTTGCCAGACCAACTGTGATATGCCTTTGAATGCTAAAATTCCTATTCCCAATTCTGGTATGTAATGAATATTCCTTTTGAAGACACAACCTTACTACTTTTTATACAAATAGTATAAATATATTTTTCTAAACAAATGGCAGATTGACAAGTTTTAAAAGGCATAAATTACCTTACCAGGCATGCCTGTGATATTTAGTTGCAGAAACTTAACATTTGTAGATACAGCAAACAGATCACTTGAGAAACAGCTTAATGAGTTTTTTCTTACTTGTAGCCAAGCTGTCGGCAGACTACAGCTGCATCCTTATCAGACCATCCATCATCACAAATCGTGCCCCACTGGCCATTGATAAAAATCTCCACACGTCCTTCCTTCTTATTCTCACCATCCATCAGCCTGATGGGAGGACCTGGGAATAAATTACTGCTGTCAGCTCACAAGAATAGAAGCAAGAAGTACTTCAAGTCATTTTCATTAAGTCCAGTACAAGAGGTCAACTGATGTTTATGTGAAACAAGCCCAAAATCAGCTGTTAAAGCAGGCATTTTTCCTGGCTGACAAAAGGAAGCAGTTTGTCCAAAGTGCAAGACAAATATCAAATACTACTGTACTTTAAACATCAGAATTCATCTGGTTCCTTTATTTCATACATATAGCTCAGAAATGGACCCCAGTGGGCACAAAACAATTCCCCAAGTGAAGGTAGAAAACACCCAAGATACTTTGATATGATACCTGTACAAGCTGGACAGCTTTTCCATATAGAAACTTTATGAGTGAGTTTAACTGTCCCTCAGTTCATGAATCCATTCTCAGGCTGGGTGCTGCTGCTCCTCTTAACCACTGTCTCAGCACAAAAAGTGCAGTATTGTGTTAAACTTCAGCCATTCCTTATCGTTACACATGCTGTTCTGCAGCATGGTATTCTACACTAATGTCTGATTACTTTTCTAGAAATTTAAATTTGTTGCTAATTCAGATATGTTCGTAATAGGAAGTCTCACTTCTGTGGATTAGTCAGAGTTAATTAATCACGGTTTGTTCATTGCTTGGCCTGTAGTTACATTTTGAATCATTAGGCAAAGTACATATTTAACTCTCACGTTACAGTTCCTTTACAGCATGCAAGCCACACAAGTAGCCTTAAAACAGCTATGAATTCCTCTGAGGCCTCTTTATAACATTTAAGTGAGAATCACCCTCTAAATCTTTTTATATGCCATACTTTATAATCTTTAATACACACGAGAGTTGCTTTTTAGAATAATTGAAAAGCCTGTTCCCCATTCTTCTATCCTGTTCCTAATCTCTAAATCTGTAAGGATGAGAAATTACTTAATGGTGCTCTTAAACAAAGCAGTGTTTTGAGACATTTGCATTTGATTTTTAATTCAGATTAATCCAGACTTTGAATCAGCACTGGTTAAATATGGCCTAATTCATTAATTAAAAGAGGAAATATTTGAAAACAAAGTCTGTTTGCTTTACATGTAATTTAAAAGCATATTGTTTCTACTGGAGTTCATACTGTCTGGGCAGTTCCATGAATTAACTTCACCAACCTGTTTACCTACACTGTCATGATCTTACATACTAAACAAATTATTGTAGTGTATTTACCTCATTTTCAGTGTTCCTCAATATCTGTATTTCCTCAAGTCAAATCATCTACTAATTTCTCATATTTTTCCACTGAATTCTTCCCTACAGGGAAAAAAATGCTTTTTCAAATGCTAGGAAGTAAATGGTAACAAGAGAGTCTTTGTCCACTTTCCAATCAGAAATCTAGGAAATGAGGGATAAACTGTCTTATTTTTTTGTTGAGCTGATGTTAGTCTGGAAGAATAAAAATTCAGGTAAAAATTATACTTCTCTTAACCACGTAGAGTCATGGGATATTAATAATACTTTATTGTTATCTCCTTGTGGCTTAGAATATATATATATTTATGAGCACAAAATTAATATAACAGTCTGGTAATGGGGGATGTGAGAATGTTCCCATATGGATGTATTTAACTGAACCAGACCTCCTTCAACTGAGATTATATTTTATAGGAATTTGAGCAAGGCAGCACAGATGGTTTGCATCTGTAAAGACATCAGTCATGATTTGAATTCCTGTTATTTTGGGGTTGAGAAAATTCTTTCCACCAAATATGATTTGACATCATCTACACTTAATGGAACTGTACTGCAACATAAAGCATTATGTGAGAGGTCTAAAGGCTATAAAGAGGGAGAGACTACAAAAGTACATGTGGAAGTGCTGACTGTTGTTATAACAGGTAGCAACATCGTGCAGTAAATCCGTGTCATGGTTTGTGGGATAGACCTTCAGTCTGTGATTTCCAGAGAACTTCAGGCACCCAGGCACACAGTTCCACTACATTTCAGCAGAAGCTGGGAATCTAACTCCACTAGTTATCATTCTGGTTTCAAAATCAACTAAAATATTCTGGGGTAAACTAAATAATATTGGCAACAATTTTCTAAAAGGCAACATACTGACAAGCTACAAACTTCATGTAGCAAATTGTAAAAATTAAACTTTTTCAGAACCGCTGAGCAACCCATTGTTCCCCTGTAGTTTCTGCTGTGCATATCTGATAGCCAGAATGATTGTTTAATTATCTACATAGGAATCTTTGGAATTTATTTGTATATATTTGTATATTTTGTATATATACAACGTCACTACGTAACTGGTATTTTTCTATCATTTCTTATCAGTCTTTTTATTCTTTTTATTTTCATACAAGTTTCTAGGCTTTTGACATTGGAACTGACTCTTTTATCTGTGTGTGCAGTATCATTCTGTTCTGGTCAGCAAGTGGGGCCCATTCACCCAGACACAATGTAAATGGTAGGCAATAGTAACACTACTATAATAGTAATAGTGCTCAAGTATGTCTCCAACTTTTGACATCAGGAGAAAGTTACTTGGAGGCTGGAGACTGCTGAGTAAACTTAGTTATACCATCAGGAAGTGCAGGATAGGTCTAAAATCTCGTGAAGACTGAGAGAACAGCATCTCTGAAATTTGCCATGCAAATCTGTGTTGAGCTTTAATGTTCTGGCTGCTTATGTTCCTCTAAACAAAGCTGGATTACTTCCTGTGATCTTCATGAGAATAGTGAGGATTTTCCCTTCCTGTTCCTTCTCTGCACACATCTGACAAATACTAGGACTTTGAGCACCCTTAAGTGTCCTGTACTTTGCTGGGATCTGTATCCAGCAAAACTCATACCACAGTTTCACTAAAGAGCTGCCTTACCAAGTGAGAGCTTGTGGCTGTCGTTATCTGGATGGCAGATGAGCCTGACATCCTCCTGATGGTTGCAGTCGTGCTTTCCCCACTGCCCCCGTGAACACTGCAGAAGGTTTGTCTCCTTCCCGGAGCAGCTGACATCATCCAGCCAGATGGGCCCAGAGCTCCCTTCTGAGGAGCTCTCTTTTTCCAGACCTGCACTTTTGCCATACCTGCACAACACAGACGCAATGTTTTGGTCCACACTCAGCAGAGGACTTGTGGTGCTTCAGCACTAGAAAGGAAATTAGTTACTCCTGAAGAAATAAAGGTTTCACAAGCATTAACTGTAAACAGTGTTAACTATGACAGAGCACGTTCAGTTAGCATTAAATTCAAGGAGAGCACCACATGCCCCCTCTTTGGTAATGTTTTTTTTAAGGAATGACTATTGCATTGGTAGAAACTTAAGAATGTAATACCTTTGATTAAGGCCTCTCTTCAGCCAAGCATATGGCTCGCACTGACTTTGAGTTATAGCATGTTCTTAGTATTATAGATACATTTAAATGTCACAGTCTGGAGAAAATGAGACAAAATCCTTTTTTGAATGTGAGCTGTTACTATCTGAAGGCAAGACAACAGTCACCTAGTGAGAGTGCATCTTTGTAGCCACAGTCAGTAGGAAAAGTAGTGAAGAGTGAATTCATCAAGCTCTAATGGGATCTTTCTAAAACAGGCTTTACAATACATAACAGTGTTCCAGGGCTAGGCTATGGGTTTTAATAAGGTAGTGCAGAAGGATTTACACCTTGAAAATATCTGTAATTTTTAATGACTGTATGGCAGGCAAAGCTTTAGAGGAATCTAACTTTTATAGGCAAAATAGAATACAAAATCGGTTTTTCTCTACAGCATATGCATTGACCTCAGCCAGAAAGATGACTGGAAGGAACTTGGTGCATAAATGCTGCTGAATTACATTATCTGTTGAAGGTTTTTTTCCTACCTAAACTGAGGCCATAAATACCTCTTTAACACTGTGGGAAGCAGGCTTTAGTGGATTTTAACTCAGTAGTTTCTATGTAGCACTCAGCTAACATTAAAAAACAAGACCCTCCTGAGTAGGGTCCATGTAGGGTTCATGTAAATGTTTGTCATCATTGTCAAGTCACGGAGCCAGATATCCAATATCAAGTAATCTTACTTAAATCCCAGCTGCCGGCAAACCACCTGCGTGTTCAGCTCTGTCCACCCATCATCGCAGACGGTGCCCCACTGCCCACTGTGATAGACCTCCAGGCGTCCCTCGTGACTGCCTTTCCCACTTGTGAGTCTTAGTGCACCATCTGTGTCGTTAGCGAGCGAGGAAAAACAAAAACAGGAATCAGTTTTTCTTAGGCCCAGTTATTGTTCCAAACCAAAATCAATAACATCAGGTTTACTGCATCCGAGCCAAAACGAGACTCCTGCATTTAGTGCTGATCCCTGCGTGTGGTTCGAGGAGATGACAGGGATGCCACAATGCACCCGCTCAGCTGCGAAGGGCTGCTTAATGTAACTGCCTAAGTGCACAAGGAATAGCACAAGATATCGATCCCCCAGGCCCTTATTACACGCCAGGTCCGCAGGAGTGGGCTCAGATTACACAGTTTCACTGATGCACACCTTATCTTTTTCTTTGTATCCTGTTATGTCCCTGGTTCCATGCTGACGGGCTTACTGCCACTGGCAGATGTGATACCCAGCTGAGGCAATGCCCCACAGAGTAAGTGGCAGTTGGCACATTACTGAGGAACCAGGGCCTTATTTTGAATAATGAGATTTTCTATACCTGTTATCCGTAGCCAACAGCTGGTTCATTGTGATACTGCCAGAACAGTTAATTCCTGTGGGGTTTTGTGCATCTGCACACTTTAAAGGTTCTCTTTCCAGAGCTGTGAACTCTGCATTTGTCCCTGCTTTTCTGTGTGATTTTTGGTAATTGAAGTACCTGTGAGAGGCGTGCAGGAAACGCCGGCGTCTTCTTTGTGGGCACAGTTGTGTTCTCGCCAGGAGCTTTTTGGACACTGCTCTATGGACAGTTCATTTCCCGTGCACTGCACTTCATCCAGCAGCACGGGGCCGGAGCCTTCTCCGAAGTAAGCCTGGCCCCAGGCCTTGGCAACACCCCTGTCGAAATGTCAGGAACACCCAGTCAAGAACAAGCATGCTGAAGATTTTCCTTTTCTCTGCCTTTTGGGTTTTAAGCATAACTTTCCTAGAGGAGATTATAGATGTACAGCTTGGGTATGAGGATTCTAATTTTAATTTTAATTTAATGTTTATGCGGAGTAAAAGTAATCCGATATATATTTCTACAGTGACTTTCATCTGTTGTCCTCAAAGCACATTAATCAAATCTCAAATACCCAGATGAGGCAGATAAAAGTGATTGTTCCACATTTAGTCATGTACAAACCACAGCAAAGAGATCTTAAGTGACTTGACAACCAGTCAGCAGTGGAAATAAGAACAGAAAGCAGACCTTAGCCTTGTGTGGGGTATATTCTGTGTCAGCATTGAGGATTTTGAGCACAACAAGCTATGTAAATTGAAAACACTCCCGTTGTTCAGCATTACAGAAATTATGCAGTGTTTAACACTTGATGATCTATCAGGATTTTTCTAATTCTGTTTAAGATGCCATGTCTTTCATATTAGTAGATGTTTGTCATGGTTTGGTTTCTTTCCACTCAGTGGTTTCTCTGTTCATATATTCAGTCTAGTTTGAAATGTCAAGGTTAAAATGCCTGTCTGAATTTTTTACTGTAATGATTTACCTATCTAAATGATTAGTTGAAATTAAGTAACATACAGTTTTCAGGGCCAAAAATACCCTCAGATGCACAGCAGGCAACATTTTAGCAAAACATGTAGCTCAGTCTGAAGTTAGTGCCTTAGACCTTAACCTTTTCTTCCAAATGACCTTCCTAATTCCAGATAACATACTAACAGACCTCTTGCTCTGTTTTTCCTTTAACAATGCCATGAAAATTTTTAATAGATTGGAAATTGTATTTTTCATTGCGATTTGAAAACATTTTCTGATTGCCCTTACTATTCTTCCATATACTTTGTTAAGTAACCAGGCATCTTTATATGCAGCATTAATTTACTGAGCAATGGTATTTTGCAATGCTGGTAATGGGAAAAAGAGACAAGTCCTTCATCTCTCGTATTTCATAAAGACTTGCTTTTCAAAGTGGTTGAAAGTGTGAACAACTATATAGTAAGCTAAGAAAATATAATCCATAGGATACACTGATGGTAATACTTCAAATCTTGGTATCCCATTTATATTTAAGCATCTAAATAAATAAAAACATTTTTTTTCCAGTGTATTTGGTACAAATGTACAGAAAATGTTAGAAAAAAAATCCTTATTCATTAAGAAGCTGGCTGAAATCAAAGAGATAATGCTTCACTACTTTGACTGCAGAAAACAAATTATACCATAGTCTACTAAAGTGCAGAGTTCCAATAAAGCAGAGACAAAACATCCCATTACTATAACAAGGGGAATTTGTATTGAGCAAAACATATTTATGAAATAAAAATGATAATTTTTCATTATTTTTCACCTATTAATGGTATATTTATACTGTGAAGTTTTATAGAAGTGGTGCAGAAGAGTTGAAGGGGTGTGGGAAGCTACTTATGATTTTATGATTTCTGGCATGTTTCCAGATGGATTAACAGTATGCAAATTTAGATTATTTTTAGTACTTCAGAACTGGTCTACTGCCACTGTTGGTAAGATTTCACTTCATATTAACGAGCACATGTGTTGAGACATCTTGCTTACTTAAGAAGTTCTGTAAATCTCCAGACATGTTTCAAAGAGACTTAGCAGACTTAGCACCATCTTAATACAATTTATTTACTCGGAAAAAAGAATCAAATTAGAAGCTGCTCAGAACTGCCATTTCTGATCATTAAATATAAGTAATCAAAAGTTTTAGTGTAATCAGCAAAGAGGCAGGTTAAGAGCATTACACTTGTCATTACTATACAGAAATGCAAAGCAGAGCTTAGTAACTCCTCAAACCTATTAATAGTGGCCCAATTCAAAAGCAGGAAAAGCCTTTAAGAAGAGAGACTTTCCATTAGGTATTCCCAATTGAAAATTTAGAGGCATATAGAAATACAGCATAAAATAAACTGGGGAAAAATAAAAATCTGATGTCAGAAGAGCATGTTGGTTCCCACATGGCTCCCCAGGAGATCTAGTAGCTTTTTAAGTACTGCAGTTCTCATCCTTTTGAGCTAATTTGGGTGGTACGGGCAGCCCAAGGCCTCAGTTACAAAATAAGTACACTGGGGGCCACCCATGAATGCCACCAAGCTTGCTGCCTACAATGCCACTTCTTTCAACTCATCATAATCCCAGCAGGGTTAACAGGCGAGTTCTGTTCCAGTCTCCTCTGCATTTACCTGCTTAGTTCTCATCCACTCTGTCTCAGACCTAATCCCCTTCTCCTCCTTGGGATACATCTTAGTGGCTTCTCTGCCTCTTGCTCCTAGTTCTTTCCCTCTTCAAGCCATCTGGCCTTTCATCCCAATTATCCCCATCTCCTTCCTCTCATTCAGCAGTTCTCCTCTGTCTCCCGCTCCTGCAGCATCTTCCCTCCAATACTGAATACTCTCCTGTGTGGTATCAAAATCACCCCTGGCTGTTGAGAAGAGGAGCAAGAAAATCCTGTTTGGCTGCTGTGGCTGTATTTCGGCCCATGCTCAGTTCAGACAATCACTGACAAGCTTAACTGTCAAAACTTCAAAAGGTCTCTACCTCAATATATGCAAACTGACAACCTTCAGAGACTCATGATTTAAACAAATCTTGAGAGATGCTCACAGGTACGCCAAAAAAACACATCCTCTCTGACAAAGCAGCGCTCTTATGCCAAAGCAAGGAGGCTGTCAGGTTCTTCAGTAAAACAGATTGGAAGGATTGGAACAGTCAAGACAAATTCCTTTTCATCACCTATGTGTTTGGGTTGAAACCTTACAGGAATCCTAGTGAGTTCTCACTAAAAAGTCAACATTTATTCTGAGACACATTTTTTGTCTGACATAGAGACAAAAAAGTCCCTATCATATGACACTGAAAACTGGATCCTGTAAATCAGAGTTCCAGGGAGTTAAAAGTAATGGCACTGTACCTAAACCTTCTATAAATAAACTTAGTGACTGCCCCATGGTATTAGTGCACTTTTAAAGGAGCATTTTTTACAATTACACTTCTCCTAGCTTCAGCTGTGTGTGTGGTAACTCTCCTGCTTTGCTGCTGGAACAAAAAACATGTAGAAAAACAAACCCGAGGCCAAGCTGCCGGCAGACAACTTCAGCATCTGCGTCATCCCACTGATCATCACAGACTGTCCCCCACTGGCCACCGTGGTAGACTTCTACTCTTCCTTCGTGGGCGTTGTTCCCTCCAGCCAGCCGGATCGGAGTAAACACGGGGGCTGTGATCCAACACAGAATATGGAAAAGGTCATTTATTTCAAAAATAGAATCCTGATAGTAAAGAAAAAGGAAGGTGCTTAATGGTTTCTCTGACATCACTCCAGAACCACACTTTATTTTTTCTAGTTAGATGGAAAACCTGAATTTAAACTTCCTAGAAATGAGTTCCCCTCAGCTTCACTGTCACTAGCTGAAGAATAGTACAGACAGGTATTATTATACAACTATACTGATCTTGAATTACCTACGTGTGAGAGCATTCACAGACACTTAGTGCTGTAAGGCCAAATACTAAATCAGTCCGTAGAGCTGCATTTCTACCAGTAAGAGCAAAATTGCCTCTGTATAGGCTTGCTCCCAGAGGGTAAAATCTGAAGTAAGAGGCAAAAATTATTTCACTGACATGGAAGTAGTAATTCATCCTCCTGTTTTCTCATTCCTTTGCTAATTCCAGTCAGAGCAGTGAAACCTCCTTGACTGGAGTCTCACTTTAATTGTCCACTTCCTGTTTCTGGTCTTTTCAAATCAGTAGCTCTCTTCTGGTGCACCAAGAAACTGTCTTGAAAGCATCACTCCTGCATAAAGCTATAATAAAGGAAACAGCTTAAAGCCACATAAACCCCCCACAATTGTTCTGATATTAACAAGGTTATTTTAAAGTTTCTCCATATCTAACATATGAATGATTTGAAATGTGAATAATTTTTGTGTAGCCTTCCAACCAATTAATTCTACTATTTTTTGGCTTCAAAAAAGAAAAGGGCATATTACTGTTCCACTGATATGAATTCTGGGGCTTTTTGCAATTACTCAAAAAGGGTAGTTGCAGTAGAACCTGCAAAAACTTGAAAACATTTATAGATTTCAGTTTCTTTAGGCAAAACTACTTCTCTTGCTTTGGTCCTTCAACTTGTCTCATACCTTAAAAAAAATCTTCTCCCTTCCCTCTACTCTACAGTAGTTTCCTACTAAATTAAGACCAAAATGTTCTTTTAAAAGTCATTTATCAAAATATTACTCATTAATAGGAGAGCATAGGACAGAAATGCACCTGCTTTTGGATAGGAATGTAAGTAGGAGAGGAAAGGCAGCACAGAACTGGCTGCAGCCACATGTTCTGGTTACAGCTGAAGATGCTGCCACTGCCAGCTCCCCAGCACTGCCAGCCCAGCCTTCCTCGAGGCCAGCAATATCTTAAATCTGAGGGCATAAGTGCCCATTTAGTTGCTGTTTAGCATGTTGATTAAAATAATCTGAAATATCTTAAAAACATTAATGATAATTTTTCTCCTATTAAAAAATGTGGGGAGATACAATCCTACTTTTACAGCCAGAGATTCTTGCTACTTCACCCCTTCTCACAAGCTACATGTCAAAGCAGCAATTTGCTCATAGATTATGGAAAGGTAAAAAGTTGTTAAGCTAGTTGCTCCTTGCACAGCATAGAGGTATTTGAAGGAGTTAATGATGTGGTGATTCAATCTGTTTAATTTTCTCTTCCAAGAAATCTTAATATTTTTTTCTAATTTAATAATGAGTAATTCCTACTACTTCTATTTAAATAAGAGAAGGAGTTACGCAAACCATATGTATTTTTTTTACCCAGGGAGGAGCTACATGTGACAGCAGCTGCCATTTTTTGAGGACATGTTCCATCCTGCCAGGTGTCTTTTTCACATAACAGTATATTGTCTTCATCACCACGACAACGCACTTCACTCCAGAAAACAGGAATAAGGCCCAGTCCAGAAAATGGTATGTGTTTCGCTGTACCTTTCTCACTGTGAGAAGAATAACCAGGATAGGATATTAGAGTGGGAGGAAGGGAAGTAGGAACATTTTCTCATCTGTAAATCTTGGAGTAGGAAAGAAAGGGCTTTCTTCAGTAGTGTAAATTCATCACATTTTTCATACAGTTCAGCATTGTCTTCTGCACAAAGAAAAGTAACAGATGTGACCCAGTTCTCACCATTTTGTTGTGGGATATTTTAGTACAATGATTGTGTTGCTGCAGGGCCAACTGCATTCCTGTTCTCTCAGTTCTGAACTACAAAAATCAACAGAGTCCACAGGTGAATCTACAGTATCAGCCCTGCAGTCACACTTTCAGGAGAGTTAATCCCACCAGGCCTTTCACCCTTATCCTCTCCTTTAGTCCATGAAAACATACCAATGCTCTGCCCATCTATGTCATATATTGTGGTTGTGATGATGGGACAGGGAAACCACCTCATACTTCATTAGATCAGGCCCACATCCATTTTTCTCTCTTCAGCCATTCCCATCCATCCAGAACATTTATAAACAGCTCCATTTCCTTCCCATACCAAATCTACAGCAGCATTTATGGAGCCATCTTTTCTTCCATATAAAGCCCAACAAAATTAAAGCAAAGCCCAAATACTGTAATCTCAAAGGAACAGATGGATGGAAGCACCTGAAAAGCACCAATAATACACATGAGTTCACCTGGTGGTACTTAGATCCAAATTTCTGCCAGACACTCATGATAACAGGAACTTCAGCTCTGTTTGCTTGGGGCTTTTTGGCCTGGGTTCAGCTTTAACCCATTTCTGTTGACAACACCAAACCACTCACCTGTATTGCTGATCTGCTTTTGCTAAGAGCAGTCTCATTCAGCTGAAGGTTCAGGGTATGGGAGCAGAAAGAACTTAGGTGAAAATGAGGAGAGGGAGACAGTGCACGTAGACAGCTGAAGTCATAAGCAAAATCACAGCCTCCAGATGGCTGAACTTTTATCTCATCTAATCCTCATATTTTTATAAGTTGGCGTGGTGTGTCCAGATTAGTATTGGACATTATAAACCAGATTAGGTTTAGTTCTGGCTAGCAGTCTTAAAAAGTGGGGTAATCATGAGGAATGTCACAGTGCAAGTCTGCTCTAAAAGCCCCTTACTGCTTGTAGCAAGCAAAATCACTGCTTTGCTATATGAGTGAAAGAAGTGTTATAAAGGCAATAAAGCCAGACAAATTATGTTAAAGTGTCCTGTTGATTAACTCCATTCTGGCAGCAGCTCAGTGAGGACAATGCAGAGATTTTCAACCTGTCCAATACTGCTATAACTGTAAAATGTTACCATTTTCCAAAAAGTTAGGATGAGTCCCAGATGTTTTCTGGCAGGATAGAATGGATGATTACCAGGGTAGTCCCAGGCTCCTGGGAACTAGGAATTTTCCTGTGATTAGGAGCCCATGTAGAGTCTAATTCTGGCCACAGTTACATTGTTATTGATTCAATAACCTCACTGGAGCTAAGCCTCACTCCTAGTTGAGAGTTACATATGTGAGATCAGGATCAGACTACATATTTCTGTCCTTGTGGACATCTCCCAAATGTCTAAGTGAGCAGGTTTTGTTTGCCCTAAGCTTTTTTGACCCGCTCACACATTTCACTTTGAAGGCAGAGCATCTGCCCTGGTCTGCTCCTCTCCAGGTGCCATATGCAGTTTTCTGGTGAAATACTGATTATCACAGCAACCTCTCTGAAGTGTAACGCGAAGGATTCTGGGGAGAACAACTTCAGCATTTAACAGCTTTCAAACAGAAAAAGCAACCATCAAATGCAAAAAGCCCTGAGGATTTACACAATAGTTTGTCCTCTATACTGAAACATTAAAAACAAGTTGACTGATTTTTACTCTGAAACTTACCCAAGTGCAAGCTGTCGACATACAACTGTTGCATCATTATTGTCCCAATGGCTCCCACAGATTGTTCCCCAGATTCCATTCAAATAAACTTCCACTGTACCTTCAAACTCATTCTTGCCACCCCGGAGTCTCACTGACCCTAGTTAAAAAAAATTAAAAATAAAACAATTAAACCTCCAAGATACTCCATTGCTCAGTTAATATATCCCACATGAAAGACTCCAAATCTCATTTTCCCTCTGCAGAGAGAGTTTCTGTGTCATGTATTAGTGAGCTGCTTCCAAGAAACACTTTGGCACACTAACATTCTTATACCATGATATACAAAAGGAGATAACCTTATTTTTAACATTTTACTACTTATACTGAAATTATATTTCTGAACCTTCTGATACTACAACTTAGCTAAAAATCTAGCAAAAAAGAAGTATGTGTAGACTACACAGTTATTTAAATGTGATTTCCTCTACCCAAATGAGCAAAAAGTGTATAAATATATATGTGTGTATATATATATATATAAATGCTCTACTTTTATCTTTCACAAAATTCCATTGAACTTAAGGGAATCAGAAAACAACCACATGTATTGCATAGCTCTTGCTCTGACCCATGGAACATTATGCATGTATTGGATGTCAGCAGTTTATTTTAGCCAAAGAATGCATTTGTTCATAGTCGTTCTCAGACAGAAAAATATTGGATGTAGTTCTGTTAATTCATGAGAAGTCTTTACCAAATTCTCAGACAAAGCAAGATAAAAACATAAGGAATTGTCTAAAATGGGAGGGAGGGGGAAGTCTGCTTCTTGAGAGCTGCAGAACACAGAAATCCAAGAAAATGAGCAGATGTTGCATTTTTCTATTAGGTAGTTTTACTTGGGATGCCAGATGCACGTGCTGTTGAAGGTAGCCAAGGGCCACTGCTAAAGGTGGGAAAAATGTTCCTAGGTATAACTCCACAGAAGCAGAACAGAGTCATAACAACATTTCTGTTAAATTTTCAAACATAGCCCAACTGTTTGAATTAGTATTGCCTGAAATCTCAGTTAATCCATCTGCCTCTGTTCTGTGATCTACTTAAAATTAGAAACTACACCATCATCCAGTTTGCAGGGGCTTTACCAGTGGGAGGAAATAGTCAGTGTTTGTGCCTGCATTTCATTGTATATGTGTTAGTGTTTGTGTAAATAATAACAATAATAGGGAGGTCCACTTTTTTTTCTCAGCTTGTGTCCCGGTTTTAGTTCAGTATATTTTATAAAACCGCAAAGCCAAACAACTGCCAGATAACTCGAGGAATTAATTAACCTCAAACTCGGGTTTGCATGTTCCTTTCTGCCTCCTGTTTACTTTCTCAGCAGTAGCTTACTGTGCAGTAAACTGCAAACAACATTTATTCAACTCATGTTACAGTGAGCTATCATTTCAAAGAGAGGATTATGACTGAGTCAGTTATAACAATACTGTAGACATGTTGCACATCATTTATCTGCCTTTACGATTTTTCTCTTTGTGTTTTTCTGTATGTGTCACATACAGACAGAGTCCGGAATTTTGTTTATTTCTGCTCTTCAACAGACTTTTGTGTAGACTATTATTTTCACTTGAAACATCAACTGCAGGCATAGCAAAGTGATTCCTGACATACCAGAAAGCAAGTTTGAAGATGTCATCTCCAAAAATAAGTTTATTTTAGTGCATGATTGCTTACAGTCCTGCATGACACCTACTGAAATCAATACAGTGTTTCCTGAGTACACATTACACAATGTTTCTATTCAAATATTTGAATAAGGGAGTACTTGAAGAATAAAATTCTCTTCTAAATTCTCCATGGCAGAATTTGGCTCACTCCTCCTTTTGTATTTACACAATTCCCAATGACAGCAGGGGAAGAATTCATTCATGTACATAGAGCAAAACACAGAAAGGGATTGTTAAAGGTAAATTTAAAATATTTCATCGTTTAATTTAAAATATTGATTTTTACCTGATAAGTTAATCTAGAAAGAAATAAAAAGACAGCCTATTTTTACATGTAACTAATATTAAACCTGCCATTTCATAGAGCTAACCAAATATATGGAATATGCACTTTGAAGTATGTATCAACCTATATCATATGACGAGTCATAATTATGTAGCAAACAAATCAAAGGGCACACTAATGAGAAAATTATTTCTCTGGTGTTTCCTCAAAATGTTGTGGTATTCAGACACCTGGTAGTTATACTACCAGATCAAGAGAGACATTAGCTACAGTAGCAGGGATACCTCATAAAACATAACAGAGCTTTAAAATCTAGACTTTCAGTATAGTAGCTTAGTTTTCCTTTCCAACAGATAAAACCCTTACTCCATAATGAAACACAGAGCTGTGTTTCCTGTGAAAATTGATCGTAGGGAACTGCAAAATGACCAGCCTGATCTGCCATCTGTATGTTTATGCTGTATTACAAAGTATCCATTTATGTGTGACTATTTTCATTGCAAGATGGTCAGTGTTTGTAAAATGACCAGGAAACACTTTTTCACTTCCTAGGCAGCAGCAAAACTAATATTTAGCATGATTAAAAGGATACTGGTTAATTCTTAATTTCACTGATTAAGTCTTTTGCTGTTAGATTTTAACACCTCAAGCCCATACTGCACCCGAGCACATGTGCCCGAGGGGCTTCCTTCTGTGCTGCCCCTACAGCACGAGAACTGTGCAGAGGAGCACCTTCATTACCTTTTAGCAAACAGCTCTGGCTTAACTGTATGCACTGGAGGCTCTAGGTTTCTGGAGTCACAGGAATAGTAGCATCTCAGTTGTTTAAGCTATAAGTTTTCAGCTCTTTTAGTTGCTGAAGAAAACCAAATATGGTGGCAGTAGAGCTAATGCAGTAGTATCTACTCTCTGCTCTCCATCAACTCATTACAGTGTCAAGCCTCTCCTTAAAGTGCTTCTCAAACCTACACTGCCTCCACACCAAGTTCAGCAACGGGGAACCGGAGCACTGGGATCCAGCCCACAGCTCTCTGCCCTCCTCAGCACTGGTCAGGAAGAGGGAGGATGAGGAGAGGTGAACTGACCCCGCAATAGTTAGAAACAAGGGCACAGGACCACAGAGCAGGCCTGCTAGGCAGCTCTAGGACACACACTGTGGTCTTAGAACAGACTTAATTCAGCCTTATATTAAAAAATACAAATCTACTGTCCTGACAGAAACTCCTTATTTATAAACACTGATTGTAATTGTGTTCTAGCTGAGGTTACTGCCGGTCAATTCATGTTGTTTACATACAGTCTGGTAATTTTAGTTGTCCTGGTATCTGCCCAAGTCAGAGTCTTTCCTATGTGCTATCACTGTTTAAAGGAGATTAAGTTATACTTGCAAATGCAAGGAAGTAAGGGTATCCAGTGGGTGCTGCTGAGACTTGCTCCGCAACACCTGCCATATAGGCTCAAGATGAGACACCCAGGAAAAAAGGGAGAGGAAAACCACTCAGCCAACTTTTAATTAACTCCAAAAAGCAGAGGAGCTTCAAAGGAATTGTGCTGTTGTGATTGGCCTCTTTTCCTATGCCATTCTCCAGAGAGAGAATCTCTCATGTCCAGAGATGCTGGGTAACTTCAAACCCTGTTTTATTTTTTACGTTTCACTGGGAACAAGCATTGTTACTGTGCGTGGCTGAATTGCAAACAGAATCACTTTCACTGCTGCTGTACTTGTGTTACAAGCGGGGTTTATGGTGTTGGCTAAAGGTGTGCCAGTAGTTCCTCCATAAATTCCTGTGTCCAAAGGTTTGCAATTTGGCTGTCAATGTAGATTGGGAAAACCAGGATCAGAAGTAGAAACTGTGCCTTTTACCCCAGTGCAGTGTGCTCTGAAATGGCAGATTTAAAGCCAAGCAGAAGTAGTATTCTGAATATTGGAAATCTGTAAAAACAACAAACATTTTTATTTCTGCTTTAATTTCCAAGGGGTTCCAACGTGGGATAGCGCCACAGAAAGGCCCAGCACTGATAATTCATCTCTGTTGCCTTGAAGTCAATTAGGTAAGTCCAAAGTGTGAGGGTCTCCCATTGACACCTGCTGTATATCCCATGTAGCTGCATTGTCACTTGTAGTATTTCAGAACACTAGTGGATGGTTCATAATACATACAGGAGAGTCTATCCCAGCTTCAGAATGAAACTAATTCATCAGTTTCTATGAGGTACTTGTAAAAAGCTACCTGTAGTATAGGTCAAATCTAACACCAGTTCAGGTCAATGGAAGCTTTCCTTCCCTCCCAGGATCAGGCTAAAATCAAAGAAATTAATCCTGTTGACTTCAGCAAAACTATGGATGATGCTCAGTGTGATCAATGTACGCTGTTGTCTATCACTATTACAATTACTTCCCCTTGGCATTTGAACCTTGAAAAAGGGTGCATCCATCAGAAGTCCTTTGTAAGAACTATCCTGAGAACTTCAGCAGATAGCAGTATTGCATACTCGAGGATGCTTATATTAGAACTTTCATAAATATTGTATATACTGAGTGTGTAATGTGCTGCATTGGTTCCTCTGCAGCAGTGAGATCCATCATGTCATCAATCAATGTTTTAAGGCTCTGAAAAAACTAAAGTGGTCAGAGCTGGAGAAAATGAGGGATCTCATGCTGTGCAGCTCTAGTAAGAGTGGTTCCAGAGGTGCTGCTTCTTAGAAGGAAAATATGAACGCTCATGTTTAAGTTTTCATCATATTTTTTCCTTTAACCCAAAAAAAGCCAAAACCTCAAAAGGCCTTCCATCAACTGCCTGGACTGTAGTATAACAGGTAGGGAGAATAATCAGTGTCCAGACTATGAGCCTGAGGCTTGATTCTTCTCTCACAGAAGTTCGGTGAAGCCTTATTTGATTGGCATTAGTGGAATTACCCTGTGATAAAAGCAACTTAAATGGAAAGACTCTACAATCAGGCACTTCTGGAGATGTGTACTTTATTTCCAGTTCTGCCACTGATCTCTGGCAAAGACAACCTCTCTTGTATTGTTTCCTCTCTTTGTAATAGAAAGGAAAATAATTAACCCACTTTACTTGAAGAGCTTTAAATTACATTTGTAACAACATAGCATGATCAACATATCATGCAGAATACTGTCCATGCCACACAAACATCGTGTGGCAGCAGGTGCTTCCAGGTACTGAACTAGGCCTCTTTCTTGAAGCCTGAGTACAGTACAGGTAAATTGTTATTAGCAGTAACTAAAATACTAAATTCTGCTGGACTTATGCTGGCTCTGTGTAGAGAGCACTCTTGTATTCATTGATTTTCCTCGCTGATTTCCTTGGTTAATCATGATATTTTATACATATTTGTATTTGGTTTACTTGCTATCAAGGCATGAATAAGTAATATTACCCAGATGTCTCTCATTATAGAAGGAAGGAAATGAAACAACCAAATTTATTATTTTTAACTGTAAAACTGATTTTAGACTGGTACCACATAGTTTAATTGCAAAGGGGCTTTTATTTTTTAATTTTGCATTGTTAATGTTTAAATATAAAGCGGTTTAATATATATACATGCACAAAATGTAGCCAATTAACTTTGCAGGTAAGTCTTAATATTTAAGCTCGAAAAACCTGGAGATTTACAGTTAAGCCTTTGAACATGGTATTGTATTCAGTTATTGCAGGTGCCTAATACCAAGTGTGGGCTTCCTTAGCCCAGGTACTAAAACAGCAGGTCAGTCTGACCTTCCCTAGCTATAAACTGCATCATAACATTGTCTTACTTGCATTTCTTTGCTTCTTGCAAGACAGGAACACACTTCAGGAGGAATATTATAATAATGTTTGTTTCTGGGGAAGTGGCTTGATTTATTTCCATGTTCCCCTATAAGCCACCTCACAAACTCTCTACTTATTTCCTATGGCCCCCACGAAGGCTTTTGGGCAGAGGTCTGCCCTGGTGATGTCCCTGAGAGTTTACCACTGAGTCCAGCAGGAACAGATGACCCTTCCTTTAGAAAGTATTGGCTATTGTTCAGTAGCCATGTCCTCCCTCTTAGCAGGGGCCAACCTGAATTTCCTTTTTCGAGGGGAACAAAGCAGCACTCTAAAAAGACTGAAGAAACACAGCTAAACCCAAATCATGCAGTATTTTTGGTGGTTTTTTACTTACATCCCTTTCATGCTGAACTTACAGGGGATTCTGGAACTAACTTACTTTACTAAGTGCAAGATTGGGTTCTTAGCAATAAACTGCTGTGTTCTTCTTCACTATTAGATTAGACTAAGTCCTCACAAAGTATTCTGGGAACCAGACTGAAGAATTCTGAAAAAGGCTATTAATATGTTGGGCTAATTTAGAGAAGCAACTGTGGGACCCTTTCCAAAAGTGAGACCAGTTAAAGGGCATGAAGTCTTCTGCATTTTTTTTCATCTGTGTCTAGTTATGTGTTTTCCATGCCATCAGCTGCCTGGTATTCTTTCTAGGGAAACATCTGTACTGCATAACATCATTCTATCTTCTAGAAGGAGTACAACATTTCACTTGGAACACGGCTTTGGAAGCTGCATTTTTTTTAACGTGTAAATGATCAATATGGACCTTGGTGCCTCCATATCCTCTTCCTGTGATATTTTATACCAAAATGTATAATTATCACATTGTTCAGGTTATCATCTTTTTTTCGGACACCTTCTATGGCTATTGTTGGAAGAGAAACATAACAATCCTTTTCAGTAATCTGAAATTAAATTAATGTAAAAAACCCACAACAAACCCAACTTCCATAAGAACAAATTATTATTAATAATATTAGTGATGAACTTCCTTGCTGACCTTGTGCTATTAGAAAATCTGTAAAAGGAAGGGCAACAAAGCAGGGAAATTTAATTTTTATTGCAATGATTAGGCTTGATCATTTTTAGTATAGATAGGACATAATCCTTATATAGGTGGGAGATAATACCAGAGTGATGCAGGAGAAAATGTGAAATCATTCAAAGCCAGACTGTGCTATTGACATTTAATGTCGATACTGATGAAATGTAAAGCTGATCAAGGGCTGAATGCTGAAATTGCTGCTCAGTCCTTACACACTGAAAACTCCCCTGAAGTCAGTGGGAGTTCAGCTGGGAGTGTGTGGGGAGAGAGCACAGATCTCTTGGCTCCGTTTACAGATGTCCTCGACCACCATCGCTAACTTGTGAGCCCTAAGATACGGGGTAAAAAAAGACAGACAGACAGACAGACTGTGTGAGCAGATCGCCTTTAGAGCAAGGCATCCTTCTGCTTCTCCTTCTGCCACTTCACTTCTGTAGACCAAGTGCTTCCCGGAGAAGCGCACCCCGTTACAAAGAAGAGAATGCCAGCCAGCCTTGGCTAGCTGAGCCTACTGAACACTCACAGCACAGCTTCGAAACGCGATTTACCCACAATTAGAAAATTGCGGCGGAATAACCTCTGGTGGGACCTTGGTCCTTCCGCTGCACCCGCTAATGCACAAGTTTAACTCTCCTCTCGGAAGAGCTTTGGCTGTCACGTTGGCAAACAGTGCCCGTCCTCCCGTTCCCCGTTCCCTCCGCGACGGGGAAGCGGGTCCGGGATGGAGAAGTGAAGCGCCGCCGGCCGAGGCTCCCCCGGTCTCTCTGTGCTCTCCCCGTCCCGCGGACCCGCGAACCCTCCCGCCGCGCTCCCCCCCGCCCGTCCGCACTCACCTTGCTCGCAGCCGGGCGGCCCCCGGCCCGGGCTCAGCCGGCGCCTGGCGGGAGGGCGCAGGAGCTGCGGCGTCCCCGCGGCGCCCGGCCGCCCCCCGCGCGGCAGCGCGGCCGCCGCGGTCGCCAGGGGCGCTGGGCGCGGGGAAGCCCCGGCGGGGCAGCCGGCGGGGGGCTGCGGGGGGCGGGCGGGCCGGGAGGCCGGCGGAGACTTGCCCGGCCGCGGGCTCCGGGCAAGCGTCCCTATCACCAGCGCCACCACGAAGCCGGCCAATGTCATGGTGCCAGTCCGCCGGCTCGGGTCATCTCCCCTCTCATCGGCGCGGGATGCGAGGGGGGAAGGCGGGGGCGGGCGTCCCGCTTCCCTCGCCGCACACTCCCCGGGGGCAGGCGAGCGGGCGCGGGGGAGCGCGCAGCCCCGCGATGCGCTGCCACCTCTGCCGCAGCTGCCCAGGCGGCGGGGAGCGGAGGGGAGCGGCGCCCGACACCCCGCGCCCTCCCCGGCCGCCCCCCGGGTTCTGCGCTGCCCGCGGTCCCGCCGCAGCCTCTCAGGCTCACCCCGCTTCTCTCTCGCACTTGGGGCTCCCCTACCAGCCACCTTCTCGGCCCGCGGCTGTGTCTCCCCCGACCTCCGACAGCCTCACAAAGAGCAGAAGGAGCCCGGGCAAAGCCTGGCCTGGGGAGCGCAGCTTCGGGGCGAGAGGGTCAAAACGCAGGGCGGCTGGGGCGGCAGAGGGATGGAGAGATCCCCAGACGTGTCAGCGGGGAACAAAGGGGCTGGAAACAAATGCCATGAAATGTCTTCGAGGGTTTAGCATTATCCCAGCCCCATGTGCTCTGAATAGTAATCTGCTTATTCCCAACCGCTGCCGAGGACTGCATGACCTGATCATCTCCGATTTCCTTTTTCCACCGGGATGGCTGTCAGTTACTTTTGCTTCTTTGTATCATACTGTTTAGTTTTTCGTTTGGATTAATTATTTTTTAATTCACCTCTGATTTTAATCTATGCTGTTCATATATTGTAAAGTCCAGTTCTGCCTGATGGCAGAAATTGCCTTTATTTGGCAATTTGTCACTAGTGTGAGTCTGTAGATTCACATCTCTATAGGATCTTTTTTCCTCTCTAATTTTTTTGTCTGGAATGTGTTTATTTGGTTTCTGGGCAAGCACATCTGTATTTCCACAAGCTTTCGTTGTGACTGGAGTCTAAAAGAAAGAGGGTGCTTCCTGCTTCCCAGGCAGGATCCCATGTAAAGAGCGTTCCTTCCTTTAGCAGCCTCCAAGCTGTTCAAAAGGTGTAAAATGCAACTTGACCAGTTTAAAGTTTTTGTTTATAAGAACAAAAGAGCTCCAGTGCTGAGGAAAGCAGGTCCCACAGTGTTTGGGATTACTTGTATTCACTTTAGTCCTGCTCATCTGTCGTTAATTTCTTATTGCAGCATTACAGTTTGTATTTTAACTCACAAAGTTAAAGAATACTCTGCTGGGGTTTCTACAGCAACATGATAACTATGCTATCACATTGTCTCTTGCACTTCTTTGTGGATAGAAGCACACAGATTTCTTGCTGAGGTTTCTTCTGGGAATATGTATATGTATTAGTTTAGAAAACACCAGGACTAGCAAGAGTTTAATTTGTTTTCAAAATATTTTAATATATACAAGATGTTAGCCTAAAAACAACTCATTATGACCATTTTTAAATTGTCTGAAATTCTGCTTCTGTCATGACAAGTTGGTTGCTTTTATCTTTTTGAAGGACCAGTTGAAAGCATGCTCAGCCTAGCTGGTTAAGGCTTCCTTCATTGCCTAGTAAACACTTCTTGGCATCACAGTAGCAGCAATATTTAATTTTCCCTGACCTAAGCTCTTTTTCTGCCCCCCTGTAGCCTGGAAGGGTTCTGCTGATCAGCACAGGGGGAAGAGAACAAATGAGTATGATGAATCTTGCAAAATGCTTAAGGCAAAGCTTTGAGCCTGGCACCTATTCATGTATTCTGATTGCATTCTCCTCCCCGAGGTGTGTGGGCTAGCAGGAACCTCAGTGCACTGAACTTTCCTTACCTAGGTAGGGTAGAGGTGTTTGGCCTTCAGGTTGAAAAATGGTACTAAGCAGGAGGTGGGGGGAAAAGAGGGGAGGCTACACAGGGAAAACGGTTTGGAAGTAACTAGAATTCTGTAAGGAGCCTCAAGAAGAAAAAAGCAGTTGTCATAAGGATTCCCTCCCAAGACAGGGTTCAGGTTTAATCAAATGATCCACACGTACAAATTCACTCTTGAACATTTTCATTTTTATCATGACTGTTGTTTTTGATGTAATCTTATAAGGAGAATGAGCCTTCTTTTGTTTTAATAACTATAAATGCGCTTTCACTCAGAAAATAATGCTTTTGTTACAATTTACAAATTAGGGAGTTGATCTGGCTCCCATTCAAGACATTGATAATAGTCTCACTGTAAAAAGGAGGGGCCCTTTTCTAACAAGTCCTGGAGCTGGTGCAGTTTGTTTTCCCAGGCTGAATGCTTTGCAGTTTGGTTGCAGCTTCTGTCTTTGCTCGAGCATTTACAACTGTCTCCCCCATATGGTTTCTCTTGTGTTTGAACCTGTGTGAGCTTGTGCAGTTTTTCCTTTGGCTGTGGCACTTACAGGTGCCATGTATAAAATCACTCTCATCTGCTGCATTACTTCTATCACACTTGCAGGAAGCTCATTATCTCTGTGACTTCTACCTCTGTCACATGTCTCACAATCAGTTGAAAAATATTGGGAAGAGCAAAGACAAAGCAAGAGTTACATTGGACAGACTGTGTTTTTGAGAACCTTTATTCTTCTGGACATCACTCTTAAAATAACAGTAAAAAGCTGCACTCTGTTTTAAGGGTGGGCTTCATACATTTATAAAACAAGAAACAAGGGCTTATTATGCTGGTATAGCTGTTAGAGCTTTAAAAAGATGCCAAATATGAGATGTGCTTAGCGCATTTGGTTGCCTTAAAAAGTTTTCTCTCTGCTGTAGAAAACTGTTGAAAACTCATTCACAAACTGAAAAAGAAAAGGGAAGAGAAAATATGTTTGCTTCGTTAGGGAAATAGGCAAGTAGTTCTTTGGAAACCTCAAGAGGTCTAAGTGAATCTGGGTGTTACATACAGCTTGGATTCTGAAATTAAAGTATTCAGCTTTTCAGAAAAAAATTGGCACAAAGTGCCGAAAAAATAATAAATCTTTGGAAACTGTACTAGTTATACTTCTGCAGCAGCACTGTGGGATTTAAAGTCAGTAATCTATGTTTAACAAGGCCTGCATTTTTATAGAGAAACAAAGGCTTGTTTTGGTCTTTTGAGACTGGTAGAGAAAATAATCCATTAAGATGCAGTGGGTTAACTGGCTCCAGCTGAAGTACATAACAATTCTCCTTTTTACAAAAAATTTTCAATACTTAGTATTTAGCTTATGCCTCAGACACAGAGTTAGTACCTATTGACAGAAGTCCAGGAAACAACACTCATGACCAAAGTTAGGAAATCTGTGCTGTGTGCTGACAACTTCCAAGAGAGCAGTTGTAGGAAATTGTCTGCCAGAACAGGCCTTAATTTCTGTACAATTCCACAGGGTTGGCTGCTTTTTTGTCTCCTGATATTTGACAGTCCTAGTACCAAATTGTTGATAAAACAAAGAATAATAAATAGTTCATAGTCATGGATGGATCTGACCACTCCAACACCCCCCACTCTTCCCATATTTCCATTTCTCAGGTATCCTGAGGAATCTGTGCACAGAGAAATGGAAATATTGGAAGTACTCACATAGTACAGCAGCAGCGTGAGTTATTCATATCTGCAAGGCTTAAAAGGAAGCTTCCTTCTTCCTAATAGTTTTCTAAAAGCACTTGATAGTTCTTCCCTGTCACTGGCTCTGCTTTTGCATCAATTGTGTGAGGGTTATTAGAGGACTAATTTTCAGTAAATGATTCTTGTGAATAGGTGAAAGTATCTGATGTGTGGGTTATACATGCAAAAATAGTAGTCCTGCGATTCAAAAACATTTAATACCCAGCATTTAAAATTCAGCTGGAGAATCAGTCTAATTCTGCTTCATTTGAATCAATAGCAAAATTCACTGATTAGCCTCTTCCTGTGTTCAGTAAAGCTGCTTACCTTTATTTTCGAGTAGCTCATGCAGTTTGCTGTCAGCAGGGATTTTAGAAAAGCTGAGCACTTCCAGCTGTTGGTGGAATTCAGTTAAAATACTATTGGCAAGTGAAGGCCTGAGTCAGTCCTATCTGACTGCCACTGATAGCCCTAACCCCAGGTATTCCCTCCTGCATTCCCTCCTGCCCAGGTCAGCGGAGATGAGATAGATCAGAGCAAGGGCTGACTTCAGGCAATGAGATATGTGAAATTCCCCCAGGAAAGAAGTACAGAGCAGACAGAATGTAGCCAAACAGCCAGGCACAACACACTGTCATTAAATTATTTTCAGACTATCCAGCTAATAATTTCTTACTATTATTTCTTTACACGATCAACTGTGTAGGGGCCAATAGATCAAGTGCTGGAATCAATGGGAAAACTTAGGCACGTGACCTAATGGGGACTGGGTGAGATCAAACAGCACCAGACAGGGGCTGAAATCAGGACTAGGAGATGAAGCAAGGCTTCACACAAAGGAGACTTCCATGTGCAAAATGAGCCATGGAATGGGTGCTGAAATGAGTCAACATTTTTCAGGATGTAAGTCAGCGCTCTTATAAAATAATTTTATTCATTAGTGTCATTCTTTTTAACTACACGGGCAGCAGAAATTTGAAATGCTGCCAAGTCTGACTCAAAATTAATTTGGGTTTGTGCTTATGTGGAAGAGAATAGGCCTTTTGTCCGTAATTCCATATAAGCTCCATAGGGTGACCCTGCATTACACAGGATGTAACTGAACAGCCTATAATTGATGAGGTTTCCATTACCACATAACACAGTCCACACAGTAATGAGATCACAGAAAAACCTTCTTTAAAGTGTTAAGTACTTTCTTGTACAACAAGCTGAGTTCATACTAGAAGGCACTAAGAAACACGACTTCCTGGAACAAGGCAAAAAGAAACCTGACTTCCTGGGGCTGGTCAATACATAGGTGCATGTGTGCCTAACCCTGGGTTACACAGACACCATGAAATAATTGCATCTAAAACTGAAAGGTAAATTGAATCATGCAAAACTGGGGAACACTGTTCAATACAGTGAATGGGGGAAAAATGCTATTTCAGCTGAGATGGTTTGGCC